GAACCAGGATGGAAAGAAGTCGACAATGAAGAACAAAGGCTTCTTCGGCAGCATCGGACTATTCCTATATGAGCAGAGGGCACTTTGGAGATTTTACATTCCAGTCGTGGCAAGTGCGACTGGAGCTGGAGGTAAGCACGCTCGAATTCGCGCTGTCAATACGGACTAACGAAGACATGCTGGTAGCTGCGTTTCCACTCCAAAGCTGGTTGTTTGCGAAGCTTATCGCTGTGTTTCAGTTGACTGGCCAGAGTCTGGCACACGCAGCCAACTTCTGGGCATTGATGTTTTTTATTTTGGCCCTTGGGACAGCTGCATCCTACGGACTTATGGGATATTCTTCAAACAGGTTCTCATTTGTAAGTGTGCCACACAAATCTTATAGAGTTTGAAGCTAACATTTGGGCAGGAAGTATCCTCCTTCTATCGAACGCAATATTTTGACAACGTGCTCAACAAGCCTATTCCATTCCACGATCAGATCGAAAACGCTTCTGGCTCCCTTGTCTCTCGACTAGCGACAGACCCGAAACAAGTGCAAGAGATAGTCGGAATAAACGGTGCATTCCCGCTATCGTCCATTTTTAGTATTCTGGGATGCATTATCATCGCGTTCACATTCGGCTGGAAGCTCAGTCTCGTCGCTGTATTCGCGGCGCTGCCATGCACATTCCTTGCAGCGTTCATGCGCATTCGCTACGAGATTCAATTCGAGGCAATGAACGCCAAGGTCTACTCCGGAAGTTCGCAATTCGCAGCTGAAGCCATAGACGCTTTCCGTACCGTCTCGGCATTGACAATGGAAGATGTGATCCTGGACCGGTATTCCAACCTCCTACGCGACCAGCAAACAAAGGCTTTCCGAAAGGCCTGGTACGCTACCCTCATTTTCGCATTCTCTGACAGTGTCGAGTTGTGCGCCATGGCACTCACATTCTGGTAAGTTCTCCACAACCAACTTATTACCAACGCATCTAACAGAATCGAATCGACAGGTACGGCGGCCAACTCCTCGCCTCCAGAGAATACCAACCAACCGACTTCTTCGTGATCTACATCGCAATCATCCAAGGCGGACAATCCGCCGGCCAATTCTTCAGTTTCGGATCCAACGTCGCGCAAGCCATAGCCGCCGCAAACCGCATACTGAGTCTCCGTCCAAACAAAGCCGAACAACAAGAATCCCAAATCATCAAATCCCAGCCCGAGTCCCTCCGAACCCACTCCGGAGCCAACATCGAATTCACCAACGTCGCATTCCGCTACCCCAGCCAAGACACCCCCTTATTCACGAACCTCAACGTCAAAATTGAAAGCGGCCAATTCGTCGCCTTCGTCGGCCCTTCCGGCTGCGGAAAAACAACCGTCATATCTCTCCTCGAACGATTCTACACCCCCTATCAAGGAACAGTCCTGATCAACGGCAACGACATCCACTCCATCGACGCCTCATACTACCGTCGCTCCATATCCCTCGTAGCACAAGAACCCCGACTCTTCGAAGGCACGATCCGCGATAACATCACCCTCGGACTGGATGAATCTGAATATACCGAGGACGATCTCATCCAAGCGTGCAAAGACGCAGAGATCCACGACTTCATCACCTCCCTCCCGGAGGGATACTCCACTGATCTTGGGATCAAGGCCCAGACGTCCATGAGTGGAGGACAGCGTCAACGCATGTGCATTGCAAGGGCGTTGCTGCGCAAGCCATCTCTTCTTCTGCTTGATGAAGCGACATCGAGTCTTGACTCGCAGTCTGAGAAGGTCGTGCAGGCGGCGATGGAGCGCTTGGCTGCGAAACGGTGTATGACGATTGTGGCGGTCGCGCATAGATTGGCTACTATTCAGAAAGCGGATACGATATTTGTCTTTGGGGAGAGTCGGAGTGGTTATGGGTCGAGGGTCGTCGAGCAGGGGAGTCATCAGGACTTGTTGCGGAATAAGGGGACGTATTGGCAGATGGTGAGTGTCACTTGATGTATTCGTGTGATTGTGGTTGCTAATTGTTTGCAGTGTCAGGAGAACGCGCTCGATCGGTGATTACTTCGACATAGATTTAATTTGTATAGGTTTTGGTACATATTTGGGACAACATGCTGCTGCGGAGTCAGTGCATCATTCGATTAGATGGTAGTCGGAGTAGATAACTTGCTATTAGAATTAATACCCTTTCTAATATGGACAATCATGCTATACATATACACCCTCTAACCACAAACCACATTATTATCCAACCCCTCCACGGGGACCATAAGAATCAAACTTACACCTCAACCATCGACTTAAGTCTTACATGAAAGGAGATAGTGCCAATGCCGCTGCACTCCCATTGCAGCTATGTCAGTAGAGATAGACTTGTGAAGATCCGAATCTTATGACTCGTATATTTCGGGCCCCATGGCATGCATAGCAGACCCACAAATGCAACAATCTGCAATGCCATTTGAACTGGTGTTCAACTGACCGGAGGATAGTGGATACTAAGGTTTAGCCGGGTGTGACCGTCGAGCGGTCCCTTCTATTTGTGGAGCAAGCTAGTGCCAAAGAAACGATTGGGTCCATGGAACGGGAAATGCCTGATGATTACTGCGTGAGACGACATGAATCGTTAGAGGCAGAACGGTTGCCTATGCCTGCACTTTCTGGACGCAATTTGCACATTTCGCACAAAATGCTTGTATCAATATTTTCAACTATACCATAGACAGACGGCTTACTGCTTTCTACTACTTCGAATCGCTATCTTATAGAAAGTGGACATTTTATTAATTCTTCGTGAGTCATTTCGGACATTTTAGTGAGACCGTCGGTGCAGCTGGTCCAGACGCTAGCGTTCGTGATTGCTAAAAGAACGAAATTGATTCTGCCTTCCACTTGGGAGCCCACTTGTCGGGTGCGCCAGCAACAGGATTCGATGGTGTATTCGAGTTGCCAGATTTCTTCTTGCCTCCCCTCTTCTTTTTTGACTTCTTGCGGGGGCTCGAATCATCGCCGGGGGCATTCTCTGGTGTTTGCGCTCCGGTCCATGGGAAAAATTTTGGATTCGGATCTGGCTTATCGAACGAGGCTTTCTCTGGCTGTATCTCTTCGTCTGGCTGTGTTGCTTTCTCTGGCTGCGTCGTCTTCTCTGGCTGAGGAACTTTCTCCGGATGTACCGGGGCCGCTTTTTCTGGAACGGGCTTTGAAGATGTCGCAGGCTTTAAAGTCTCCTTTAGTGTGGGTTCCGGCTCTGACTTTGGCTCTGTCTCTGATGGAGTTTGTTCCGGTGCAAAGCTTTGATACCTCACTGGCTGAGGCGACCGGAAGGTGAATGAGAGAGGTGAAGCTGGAGCAGGAGATGGAGACTTGGGTTTCTCTTCTGGTAGTTCTGGCACGGTGTCGGCGGGTTTAGAATCCTTGACACCGTCATCCGAGCCATCCACGCTAGCTTCGGGGTCGCTCTTGGTGTCATTGCTGTCAGAAACAAGAGTTGTTTGATCAGTAGAAGCATCTTCGTCGGACACGAAGGCAGCACGGCTGGCTGCTGGTCCGTTGGTAGTCGCCTTGGTCAACTTGGCAATTCTCCCGGAGTAGATTTTCAAGACGAGATCCAGTAAGAACTGATCGAATTTTGCATCGCTTCCCACCCCATACTTCAGAATATCGTTTCTGAACCGTTCTTCGCCGGCTTTGAACGCTGCAGCAAGTTGATCATACACGAAGTCCTCAAACCACTTCCTACCAGTGAACATAGTAGCATATACCTCTCGTGCAATCTTGAGTAGTTCCAGTGTTGACACGGAGTCGACGAAGGTATGCATGTAGCGCTGTGCGTGGTCCAGCAGGCCCTGAATCTGGTGTCGCTGAGCCATGTGGAAGGCGTACACGCTGCGTTTGAATTCCCGAGCTCGGGCTTTGGAGGGAGGGACGTTGGGAGATGCGGCGAGAGTTTGATATTCCCCAGTGTAAAGATAGTGGATAAATGTATGTCCAATGTCGGCGTACATTTCTTCGAGGGAGAATTCCTTCATGTAGGCGAATTTCAAGTTGGGGATTCTGAGGACGTAGTATTCGGGTATAGCGTAAATGGTGCGGCCAATTGTGATGTAGTTGATAGGACTGGCGTAGGGACTGTAGTGCTTCGGTCAGTGTTGGCTCGTATACAACATATGTAAGTGTCTCAATGGCCTAGCTACCTGTCACGAGGCTGGGGATAGTCCGTGATCGTTTTGGGAGGCGATTCTGGCTCTGCAAAGACATTTTGGGTCGGCTTCTTTGGCGCAGTGCCAAAGAGATTGCACAATGGACTGTCCGCTGGGAATATCTTTGCCATTGTGTATGCCGACTGTCGTGAGAGACAGAAAGATGTGGAACGATTGATGTGAGGGATGGCGATTCAAAACAAAGACCGACGAGATCCTGGTTAGCCAGGCAATATGGACTCACCGCCTGGAATAACCGAGTTTCGGACCCTCGCCGCCTACCGCGATAGGGAAGGTGTGTATTTACTACCCGCAGAATGATCTTATCTCGTGAATCCCGTGGTTGAGCCCGTACCTGAGCTTGAAGTCTGGTTCATGATCTTGTGCTACTCTGTCTATCGATTATATACATTCAATTGTGCATTTTCTTCTCATCAACTTTCATCAAGCCCTTTCAAGTTTTTAATGGTCGTTTCCGAGAACTTCTAAGCATTTTTCAGATCTCTCGGAAAATACCGTGACGCGTTGTTTATCAGCTGCCCCAGGCACACTTCTCCACAATATCCGACTTGCCTATTTCGGAAAGAAATCGCATCGATAGGCGGTATGTACATGTTTTTTGTTTCATACCAATACGGTATTCGGCGTCTTATGCTAATCGTACTAAGCGGATACAAGTATTTTGATATGCTCTTTGATAACACCCGTATGTGGAAAAGGTCTCTAATAGCTTACTGACTCGAATACCTCATGCTACAATGAATCCAAAGTTATAATGAACCAGAATATATCGACAACCATTATTGCCCTCCCTCACTGCCTAACACTCCATACAAACTCCTCCACCCCCTTCCCAAAAACCCCCTCCCTAACCAAACACCCCATCGACTCCACAACCCAAGTCTGACAATCCTTCTGCACTATCCTCCTCCCAACCCCAACCCCAACCTCACCAACACTATTCAACGACTTCCCCGGCACCTTCGCCTGATACAAAATCCTCTCAAAGGCACAACCCGGCACATTCTCAATCCTCTCCGGTCCCTCCATCACCTTCTGATCAAAATACCTCCCATCCACCCACTGCAATAGGATCCGCTTTGTCGGAATATCCGGACTGGTACGGAGATTGTGGCTGCGCTTGATCTCAAAAATGAACCCGTTGCGCACGTCCCCAGTTGCATGGATCTTATCTCCGATTAGGGTATCATCTGGGGAAGTGATCCAGTATGCCCAGTGGTCTTTGAAGGGGTGGCCGTTGAAGATGTGCAGTTCGAGGAGCAGAGAGTCCTTAGGGCCGTTGGGGGGGACGGTGGGTTGTGGTGGGGTGTTTCTTTGTGCTTGAGTGGTTGGTGGGGGGATGGGTGCGGGGGGCGGGGGCGGTGGGATGGAGGGCATAGTATTGATTGATTATTGTAGCTTATATATGCTATGTACTTCGAGCAGTAGTGTGATAGTGTCTAGTGTAAGATTGGGAAGCGGCATAGGGACTACATAGGTGTGTCTTCAGCTGGCGCAGTTAGGCGCTGCTGCCTGGGTAAGCGCGGGCGGGGTTTGGTGACCGTAACTCATACCACAGTAGAAACATAACAAATAGGGCATAATGAACTCATACTACCAGGCGAGACTTCATCTAAAGTAACTCACACCTTCCTCATCTCAACCACCCCCTCCCCAAACTCCGGATACACCTGAAACGTGATCCTCAACCCCGCCACCGCAGCCATGTGTTCCCAATCCTTCCGACCTCTCTGCCTTCCACCAAAGAACAGAATCATCGCCGCATGCGCCCCCGCCATATTTACATTCTTAGGCAGCCCATGTATCAACAATCGAGAATACGGCGCCATCACCTCCGCAATCTTCTGCAACAGTCGCGCGGCCTCTAAATCAGGCAGATCATGCATGAGATTCTGCAGATGGTACACCAGCGCCCCCTTGATCGGCTGGGGGTTATCCTCTCCCTTGAAATTCCACTTTTGCAGCGTAATACCTGGAATACTCGCAATGCCCGGGTTAAAATCCTGCACGATGAGATCGGCTTCCTGGAGTTGTGGAAATGCTGCCTGGAGCTGCAAGAGCATTTGGCCCTTACCACCACCTATATCTACCATTGTTCTTGGGATTGAGATGCCATCTGCTTCATTAAGAACAGCTTGGAGATCGTACCCGTGGCCCTGGAGATTCTGGGGAGTTGGTAGAACCGTGCCGAATTTCCCGTCCATGAAGCCATTGACGTTCGTCAGACGGCCGTTGGCTTCCATGATTGACCAGAAGTTCTGCTCGGCTAGATCGCCTCTGCCTATACTGCTGTAGGCATAATGCAGTGGGTTGTCCATTTCATCGAATGGGTATTGGAAATTACTAGCTTCCAGCTTTCGCATGAGGAAGGCGGATGCGAAGAGGCCTTCTGTTGTGCTGGGGAATTAACGGCATGTTAGGTGGGAGGTGCAGTGATGAGTTATTGTCAGATCTTACAATAGGAGAGACCCATGTTTGGCTGAGGGAGTCGCTTCGATGTGCTTGGTAACTTCGTTCGCCGTGTACATGTCCTCATCCACTCGATTAACAAAGCCCAGACCGGCCATGGCGAGCAATGTGTCCTCTGCATAGAGCATGTGCATTAGCTACTACAGAATACTCGCAGCGAGGCGCAGTAAATATACTGACGGATGAGAACCAGAGCTGTCCGATAGGTCAATATGGGCTGCTAACTCTAACAGCGCAGATCACTCACATGGCTCAGGGTCACCAGGCTTCATCTCCTTGCGGTACCAGGCTAGAATAGCTTCTGAAGAGAGTGCATCATCCCGCGGCGTCTTTGCCAGTATTTCGAAGAGCCGGAATCGAATCGCAACGGGCACGAAGCCTAGTGAACACGCCTGTAGTGGCATATATTAGCCTAGTGGCCCATGACGGAGAGGTTTTGATTCACTGAATAGATTGTTCTTTCAAGAACTGCGCCTGCAGAGACTGAAGCCATAGTGTTTCACCGAATTCTTAATGACTTGAACATAAATCATCTGGTGCAGAATTCGATGCCGTTATATACACTCCGTGCTCGTATTCCAAAGTACTTTGGTTCGTCGCATTCTCTGCGCATGGACTGATCAATAAGTACTCCACCGAATCGGGAAATATCGAGTTTCGTGACTGGTATTGATGGGTGCGATGTGCGCGTCATAGATTTATGCAGCTGCCCAAAACGAGTTGTGCACGTGTTGCACTAACGAGATTTTGGTCGGAATACGAAGTGGTAACCGAGAAGGTTTATCACCCTTTGAAGCGAGCAGCGATAAACTTGATGAGATTGGAGTAGAATTGCATTTCGCTTTTAGATGCGTAGGGGTAGATGCTGGATGGAGTCTTCATGCATTTCCACCTCGGTTATTCATTTCTTCGCCAATTACGAGAGCATGAGTATAGCAGCATGTTGTTAGTTCTTTGGCAACATTTGAGTAATAGAGTCGCCATTACTAGCATAAGCTAACCCCATAAGGAGAAAATGAGACTCTTCGAAGTGTGCGAAATATTTCTAGATGGAGATTGGAACCTTTGCCACAGAAGAATCATAAATCATAATTAACGGGTGATATGATGACATAGGATAATTGCAGTACACTAATCACGGTCGGCCATCGGGTCATTAATTATTAAGGAATAGTCCGAACTAGACCTAAACTCGTTAGCCTCTCGTCCTTCAGGATGGAATCTCACCATCACGGAGACATTCCGGAGCGATGATTTGCCCGCACGCTATCAGTCCTAAGTGGATCGGACACATTACCCGCTAATGCCCTAAGCAAGATGACCAAGAATATGCCCGAGGAGGAATAATCACTCCGAATACATACAGAAACCAGATGTATATAAAGAGAACAATAGACATCATCTAAGACACTATCACTCAATATCAACACAATCACACAATTACAACTTCACACCATCCATTCTACACTACCGAAATGTCCCCAATCACCCGCCCACCCCTTCACCCCACCCTCTCCGCCATCCACCAAACCATCCCAACCATGGACATAAGCACACCCGAAAAGCGCCGCGTCTACCGTGACTACCTGACCACGAACTTCACACTCGAAAACACCCTCAAGGGCCATGAATCCACCATTGCCTACCAAGAAGTCGACATCCCGGGTCCCGTTGGTCCCCTGCGCGCCACCATCTTCCGCCCAAAGCATACCACCTTAGATGTCTCCTCTACCCCGGGGATTCTCCATATGCACGGTGGTGGGCACTCCACCGGAAACCGCTTCATGGGCTTCACCGTGCTGGACTGGGTGGAATCCCTCGGCGCAGTGATCATGACGGCAGAGTACCGTCTCGCGCCGGAACATCCCCAGCCTGCGCAGTTGGAGGATAGCTATGCGGCGTTGAAGTGGATGAGTGAGCGTGCAGATGATCTGGGGTTCAATCCATCCAAGTTGGTAGTATGTGGTGGCTCAGCAGGAGGTAACCTCGCCGCCGGTGTGAGCTTACTCGCGCGGGACCGCGCCGGTCCAGCAATTAAAGGCCAAGTGTTGATGTACCCGTGGGTCGACGACAGTGTGGAGTGGAACTCGATGGAGCAGTTTGGGGATATTGCGCCGTTGACGAAGGTGGATGCGGCGCAGGCGAGTGATTTTGCCTTCGGGGTGAATCGGGAGTTTGCCGATATGTATACGGTTCCGTTGAGGGCGGAGAGTTTTGTGGGCATGCCCGAGACGTTTATTGATGTTGGCGAGGCGGATGTGTTTCGTGATCAGGATCTTGCCTATGCTGCTAGGTTGTGGAGGGATGGAGTCGCTACGGAGTTGCATGTTTGGCCTGGGTGTTGGCATGGATTTGATGCTTTTGTGCCCGAGGCGGAGGTTAGTCTCAGGGCAAGGGAGGCGAGGTTGGGGTGGTTGAAGAGGTTGCTTGCTTGATGGGTTGGTAGTTGAGGATCTATGGTTGTTCGTGTTCTTAATTTGGTGTATATATTGTTTGATTTCTGTAAGAAGTATAGGAGTTGCGATTTGGCATTTTGAGCTTCCAGCTGTCCTCGATCAATGGTAGAAACTGAAGAGAAGCAATGGGTCATCGATGTTCCTGGGCGACTGCTCAGATTTTACCGTCCCCATTCTTCTTCTCGATCCCGTTACCATCTTCAATGTTTGTAGAAGCCTCCCCTTCACTTCCTTTCTCACTCTTCCGCTCAACATCAGGCTTGTTCTGCTTCACACTGCGCCATTCCATACAAACTGCACCGATGCTAGCAAGACAAGCCATGATAAGTCCTACCTGAAAGCACACACGCAGAGAATTATTATAGGCTTGTAAACCATCATCTCGATATCTCTCCGGAACAAGGCTTAATACGTCCGTCGCACCCGTACTCTGAATCACCCGCGGAGTGATTTCCACATCCGGAATTCGTGAAAGACGCCGAGCCAGCTGATTGGAAAGGACATTTTCACCAACAGATGTAAAAATAGCTCCGAAAAGCTGCTGACCGAAGAACATAAGCGACGCTCCGATAGCGACATCCTTGCGGGGCAACACAGTTTGCACAGCAATGTTGTTGATCTGGGTTGATGAACCAAGGCCGTAGCCGTATAGAATCTGGTAACCGATCCATTTTGCTTCTGGGGTGTTCACATCCAAGGTGGTGATCAGACCGGCTCCGATTGATGTAAGACAAACACCAAAAATCAAGAAAGGCGTGTAGTATCCAATGCGGGAGATGAGTTGGCCAGTGACTATGGATGCTACAACCAATGGTATTATCGTTGGAAGGAGGTGTATACCACTGCTGACTGCCGAGACGCCTTCAATAGCTTGGAACCATATGGGAAAGTAGTATACTAGTATGGTCATTGGTATACGGTTTCTGCCAGTAAGTTGTGTGAAGACTCACTGATGATCATTGTATGTGCGCCTTGGCAGCAGCTCACCCAGAAGCCGCTCGCAATACTACGCTGGAGGAGTATTTTAGGTGGTAGTATGGCCTGCTCTGGCTTCCAGATTTGAATACCCAGGAAGGCGATAAGAAGCACGAATGCAAGCACAAGCAGTGCGATGATTCTCCCATTGCTCCACTAGACAGTGTTATAATTGCTTATAGCTTGGATGTTTGCCCTAATGGAGAAGCGGTTAACTTACGTTATACGTGGTACCGGCCCACTGTAAGGCCAGGCATAGACAGACGACACCGGGAATAAGCGCGATCATTCCTAAAAGATTCAGCTGCCGCAGCTTCTCTTTCAGTGGTGTGTTGGTGGATGTTTGTTCCGGGACATGCAATAGAAAGAAGACGACAACAAAGACCACCCCACCAAGAGGAAGGTTGATATAGAAACACCACCTCCATGTAACGTCGGTCGTAAAGACGCCACCAATCAACGGACCTGAGACAGACGCGACCCCAAACACAGCCCCAAATAAGCCCTGGTACTTAGGACGCTTATGGAGCGGAACGGCATAGACAATAATGACCATCTAAATGGATATATAAGTAAAAGACGTTTTGATGATTAAATGGTTGAACAACTCACGGCGCCAGATGAAATTCCACCAGCTCCCATCCCGGCAATGGCTCTGCCTATGATAAAGGTAATGGAACTCGGTGCAGCACCGCATAGGGCCGACCCAGCCTCGAACAGTATTATAGACGACATAAATGCAGCCTTGATGTCGAAAGAACGATACAGCTTGCCAAACATCAGCTGGAACGCACAGTTTGTCAGCGAATATGCCGTTCCATACCAGCCAATATCGCCCGCTGAGTTGAATTCGTTGGTAATCTTAGGTATCGCTGTTGAGATAATCATGCGGTCCTGTGTATATGTCAGCTCAATATACTATATAGATTGGAGCATCGGAGAATACCAAAGACACGAGGAACATGCCAATCAACATGGATGTTATAATCATTGCAAGCCTTAAGCCCGAGGGATAGATCGCTTCAGGCTGGGTGCTCCTGCAATTGTTGGCAGTTGCCTTATCATCATCTTTGTGGTCTTGAGTCCGGTCGTCGCTTTTAAAAGACATGTTGATTGTTATGAACCGCTTGCAGATCCAAATGCTAGTACGGCCTCAAGAACTTAGAGAATGGACAAGCACAGCAATACGTACTTCGAAAACGCTTCATGTCAGAAATAAACAAAAGCATTTCTGTCCAATATATAGGTCGCCATCCTCGGCCGAGGAGTGGGAGTGTTCGAAGACACCTTTGTGTGGCTACAGCTATAGTATAGATGCCCTTCGGAAATGGAGCCGGCCATCTCGGGATCCGAGACAAATCACGCTAAGCCATTCTGGGACCCGAAGGCTCCGAAGAACTCAATATCGGGCATGAATCGCCCGATTTGCTTTTTGAACACCTCTATTCAATACCATGAGGACCATATCCTGCCAAAATATGCTTGAAACACTTATTAAAATAACAGCCCCAGTCTGTATCTAGTGGATGTCGTCTACCCCTCCAGCTGGGCCTCTCGGCCCAACTCGACCGAAGCTCGCCTGTTCTCTCTGCGCTCGTCGCAAGGTGAAATGCGACAAGGGCGAGCCCTGCTCTAACTGCCTCAAGGCACATGCTCAGTGTACATACGAAGCCCCTGCTTCACCTCGACCACGAAAGAGGGCTGCTGATGAAGAGCTTCTCGCACGACTCGCCCGCTACGAAGAACTCATGCGCAGCCACAATATCGATTTCTCTTCACACACCCACACCTGGATCCCTTCAAACCAGAAGTTTCAACCGAAGGAGAGTCATTTGGCTGGCTCACACGCTGAGAAGGGCGATGAAGCTAGTGTCCAAGCATCATCACTGCTTACAGATGGCACGACTGCAGAAAGAGAACGGTAAGATCTCCGGCAAACAACAGGCTGTCTGCAATATGTTACTAATGGTGACAGATGTTTGTGGTCGGATCTCAGGCCAGAGGTTTGTGTTTCCGGCTACTACCATAATCATATAATACTAATAGCCCTTTGTAAACAGCTCAAGTATCCCTCTATCCAGAGCCTCGGACACAAGGATGACCCCGCCCTGTATCCTACTCCTTCCCTTGGAGAAGCTATCTCCGATACGCAAAGCATCCATGACTTCCATCCCGAGCCAAAACATATCTACCGGTTGTGGCAGATCTTCGTAGAAAGAGTTCACCCCATGACAAAGATCGTCCATGTGCCTTCCATGCAACAGCGTGTCTTGGATACTAGCTGCAATTCATACAGCGCATCCAAGCCACTAACAGCTATCTTATTTGCTATCTATACCATTTCAATCACCTCTAGCTCACCCGGCGAATGTGAGACGTATTTTGGCCTGCAAAAGGCCGTTCTTTTGAGACAATACCGAACCGCAACTCTGCGTGCTCTCATTGCAACAGACTTCCTCACAACCACTGACCTTGAAGTCCTACAGGCACTGGTATTATTCCTCTTCTCTAACCCAAGATGTGATTTAGCAACCACCCTGTCCGGCGCCGCCCTTCGACTAGCCGAGAAGATGGGCCTACATCAAGACATATCTGACCCCAACATAACTTTCTTTGAGAAAGAAATGCGCATTCGTTTATGGTGGCAGCTCCGCGGCCTCGAAGCTCGATGTCGCATTGGCTCTACACCAGGAATGAAGCCACCACCCTCTTCCGAGATAGGCGACGTCCGCCTCCCACTTAACGTCAACGACGCGGATCTGCATCCGGACATGACTGAGCCTCCTCGGGAACACAACGGTCCCACAGAAATGATGTGTGTCTTGTTGAAAATGGACGTTTCCAACTGGCGCCGCCACTGTCCGACAGCCACTCAGCTCATTGAAAGTGTGATGCAGGGCTCGGTCAGATCTAAGGCGGTTATCGAACTGGAGAGCAAGGCGGTTGACGAGCTCAACGATATATACTGTCGGAGAAATACTCGTAACTCTGATCCACACATTCCACTTCATAGGCTTACTCAAGCCATTGCGAATCTCTCAATCGCGCGGTTCAGGTTCAAAATTCATCATCCTCGCCGACGGTTTAGCGCAGCTGGCAACGAGATCTATATAACACGTGACGAACGTGAAATTCTGTTTGAATCAGCCCTGACCTGGCTACAATCCATGATGGATATCAGGTTACGCAGCAAGTTTCCTTATTACTTATTCACGCACCTCACGACAGATACCTACATGGACGCTTATATCCACATCCTGCTTGAGCTGCGGCAACGACGCTCAGGGGACCGCGTCGCACTTGCTTGGCAGCTGGTAGAGGACCTCTTCAGCGAACACCCCGAGCTTATCGATGACAGTAACCCATTTTTTGTTTCGTTCACAGACTTGGTTTTGGATGCATGGGAATCTCGCAGTTATGAGCTGGCTAGAAGCCAGGGAGGTCTAGAAGCAGTCACCACGCCAAGATTTATCTATCGACTCTTGGATAAGAAGCGTAACAATCGTCTGAGTGATTTGACATCCAGCTTGGATTTGCATAACCCTGGGAGTTTCGAGTTGCAGGACGAAGAGGATACCAGTTGGCTATCTTGGGGAGATTTCCTTCAGTTGTGAGCACGACCATGCGAAGCGGTGGGGCAAATTAATCAATGTAAATAATAAAGCCCATTAATCTAATGGCACCGACCTAATACTATATAGTAGATTTAACTTTGGCGAAATCAAAATCAATACCGATCAACGCACCAACCCGCAGTTTCAGTGTAAATAAATAGCTCTACCATTTGAAGCAAACATGTAACACAGATCTATATCTATCAACGTCTCGCTGACCATAAGCAATGACTGACAATAACCCAATTGCTAACTGTAACATTCCAGGCTTTCGGGCATTCATCGTTCGATGTTTGTCATGATATCAATCGGAAATTCGGACAGCACAATGTAACCCGGCAATGGGAACGTGCCCCCAACTCAATCCTCCTCGGGATGAACATGATCAAGAGCAAAATTTATGCTGTCGAAATGCCTGTCATATTCATGAGGAAGACGTTCGATTATTTTAGCCCGCTTGGCAGTTTTTGTCGGCTGCTGGTCGACTTCCACCCACTTCCGCTTGTACCTGGAATCCTGTGCTGCAGAAATATTTGGACGTATGCCAAAACAATCATCGAGTGCGATCTGCTCGCAGTATTCAACATGGCTGTGGATGAAGTCCTGGTATTTTAGTCTAGGGTACTGAGTGACTATGTTGATAGACTCATGTGGGTGATCTGAAACCAGGAGGTATCTGTGAGCACTGCTGACTTTCCAATTAACTTGCTTCTCAAGGTGTAGAAGGACATGATAGAGAACGCCGCTCTCCGCATGCTCCTCACGACATCCATAAAACGTAGAAGAAGCGAGGGAATTTTGCTCCAACATCGCTCGAAACCCATTCACAAAATCATCTTCCTGCTCCAACGAAGAATCGGTGTAGGTAAGAAAAATCCATCGACAGTGTATCTTCTGGGAATGCTTCTTTTTGTCCGAAGGCCCTGATGGATGAGAAGAGGACCCGACCGGCACAACAGTGGGCGGTTGGGACAGTTTAGGGGTTGAGTCCAGGCGGTAGCAACCGAAAGCCATTTCTCGTCTGTACGAAAGATTTGTCTGAATGAGCAAGTTGTTTGTGTTGGACTATCCGTCCAAAGGATAAGAATGTCCGGGGTTGCCCTCGACTATTTATGCTCCTTGGAAAGCCCTGGCATTGCAGGAGTGGCCTAATTAGGCAGTTTTCTCAGTCGCCATAATAAACCCCGCACTTTTTGCTTACAATACAGACTTGATCCTCGTGACCAAAGTAGCACACTATTCAATAGTGGGACTGTGGAGGGTCTCGGGTAACGAGACGGTAATGACGGGCGGTAGCGGGCAGCAGAATCCCAAAGAGGGAATTCTTGGCAATTTGGCCGTATTTCTTGGCGAGACTGATTGCTTACCTTCCTCTTCTGGAAAAGGGGTAGAGATCACCTCGCTTAGGGCAGTGAACAGTAGTAATGGGGCAGGTAGTGATGGTGAGTTGGCATTTTTGGTTGCAGGTTGTTAGCCAACTATGTTTCTTAAATGGACGTTGGTTTGTTGGTGGCGCAAGGCACGTTTCAGTTTTCCTGCTGCGTAGGCAGCATTGTAGTATACTTAGCAAGACTGAGAAAATCTCCTTTTCTGGTAAGACGCGGGTTGGTACCCTGCTTATGAACATGAAGGTTTAGTTCACTGCATTTAGTGCCCCTGATGTGTATACAATAACTACTAATTTCAAACTTCTAGTAGAATTACTAAGCTCTCGAATATAACTATTTGTACAGTCTGATGATCAGTCTCGCAATGGCCTGGCTACGGCTTGACATTACTTATAGTATTGATTAGTGTATTGTCCATGAAGTCTGCTACTGCCTGGGCGTTAATGCACAAAGATATGTCTTGGTAGGGGTGTACAGAGAGACCGCCTTTTATACGTACCTTGTCTGTTGTTCAGTGGGCTCTACGCCGGCGCTCGCATCCATAACGCCAACCATGAACACACTATGTAGTTGGAACTTGCGAGAGGGACACACGAAGAACAGAGCAAGAAAAATGAAGAAGGAAAGAAAAGGTTCCATACAGCGAAAGTGCCAAAGTGGGAGATATGAGGAAAAGAGAGAGAAAAGGCGTGATAGACGAAGACTTATACTAACCCACTATGTATTCCTTAGACCGAATGCACTGTTTATGTGGAAATTGTACACTACTAACCACAAATAATATTGTCAGAAAACTTCACAACATTACCCTACCCCAAGTATTATCCTGAAACTGCGATTAAACAATGACAGTAATACAATGGTGAATGCAGATGCAATTGGTCAAATACGCCGGGTGTCACCGGATATTCAGCTGTGACGTCATATGAATATAAAGAGCTCAGCACGTCTGACAGACCAACTCTGTTCCTCCAACTCACATCACCCATTGCACCATGGATCCAGCAAACGAATACTGTGGGCTTGAAGACTATGGCCTGGTGGGGGACATGCACACTTGTGCACTGGTCAGCAAGAATGGCAGCGTCGACTCCATGTGCTGGCCCGTGTTCGATTCCCCTTCCATCTTCTGCCGCATCCTAGACAAGGAAAAGGGAGGTCATTTTTCGATTACGCCGGATCGTAGATTGAAGAATCCTTTGAGTAAACAGCGCTATCGCCCGTACACCAACATGCTGGAGACCCGTTGGATTCATGAGGAGGGTGTGGTGAATATCTTGGATTATTTTCCGATCGCAAAACCCAAGCCGCATGTGGTCGAGAAAGGGCTTCCCCAGTGGTGTCGATGCTACCAGAACAAAGGGTCCGCACAACAGGAGGCATGCCGTTCAGGGATGGTGCGGAAAGCAGAGTGCGTCCGTGGTGAAATGGAGATAGAAATCGAGCTCTTCCCGGCATTTAATTACGCTCGCGATTCGCACATTGCCCAACAGTCTTCGGCTTCGGACGACGGTATCCAAGTTTACCACTTCCAGTCAGAGAGTCAGAATTTGGTTGTCAGCGTTTTGGGAGACAAGGGTGATATTTCTGAGGATGACTCCGATCTTAGCATTGAATTTGAACTGTCCGACCGACCCGGCCACCTGGGCCCCGGTCTGATTGGGAAGGTTACCTTGAAAGAAGGACAGTCCGTCACTATGCTTCTTCACGATCAGGAGTCCATAACGTGCAATGCCCAGGATCTAGCGCCATATCTACAGCAGATTGAGCGAACAACAGGCGATTTCTGGTCAGACTGGACCAGCAAGTGCACCTTTCGAGGCCACTACCGCGAGCAAGTGGAGCGCAGTCTACTCGTTCTGAAACTTCTGACCTACAAGCCAACCGGAGCAATTGTAGCAGCTCCAACCTTCTCACTGCCTGAGCATATCGGTGGTAGTCGGAACTGGGACTATCGCTACTCCTGGGTGCGCGATGCCGCATTCACCGTTTACGTATTCTTGAAGAACGGCTACCCCGAAGAAGCCGAATCATACATCAACTTCATATTCGAGCGGATCTTCCCACCAATGGATAAGGATCCAAAGCCAGGGGAGCCCTTCCTGCCCATCATGATCACCATTCATGGCGAGCGCGAGATCCCCGAGATGGAACTCGACCATCTGGAGGGGTACCGGGGGAGCCGACCGGTGCGTATCGGCAACGGTGCAGCGACTCATATCCAACTCGACATTTACGGAGAATTGATGGATAGTATTTACCTCTACAACAAACACGCAGCCGATATCTCATACGACCAGTGGCGAGCTATCCGTCGCATGATCGATTTCGTCATCCAGATCCGTCATCAGCCTGACCAGTCTATCTGGGAAGTGCGCGGGCCACCGCAGAATTTTGTTTACTCGAAAATCATGCTTTGGGTGGCTTTGGATCGTGGTGTGCGGCTGGCGGAGAAAAGGTCCAATCTACCGTGTCCGGACCGGGCACGATGGATGCACGAACGCGATGCACTATACGATGAGATCATGACCAAGGGGTATAACGCAGAGAAGGGATTTTTCTGTATGAGCTATGAGAATCAAGATGCTATGGACGCCGCTGTGCTTATCGCGCCGTTGGTGTTTTTTGTAGCGCCTAATGACCCTCGATTATTGAGCACCATCCAGAAGATCACGGATGTTCCCGCCAAAGGAGGGTTGAGTGTGGCTAATATGGTATCACGGTATGATACTGGGAAGGTCGACGATGGTAAGCTGTCCCCCGTCTCCTTTGATTACGACTCACATCTAACAATCATCCCAGGTGTTGGAGGCAACGAAGGCGCTTTCCTAATGGTCACCTTCTGGCTCGTCGAAGCCATGATGCGCGTAAGTTTCGAACTCGCCTCCTAGTTGTTCCATCTCGATAGCTGACAATCATCATCAGGCCGCCAAGTCGAAAGCATATCTTCCTCACGACCCGTTCTTCCAACAACTGCGCAAGACAGCCACATCGCAGTTCGATAGCATTCTCTCTTTTGCAAACCATCTGGGAATGTTCTCCGAGGAGGTTGCGACGTCCGGAGAGCAGATCGGCAACATGCCGCAGGCGTTTAGTCACCTGGCGTGTGTGAGTGCAGCGATGAATCTCGGCGGAGGGGGCGACCGATGAGTTTACGCGATCTCAAGGAGAATTTGAAAAGAACGATAAGAAACGAGAATAATGGCAAAGATATGTGAAAGGTGTCTGGCGTTTAACTTTCCATAAATTACATTGGAATATGAAGCAACTTAGCATCAAGTTCCGCTAGAATCCGGGAGAAAACTCCTAAAACCTGCAAGAACCCTTTATCTACTAGTACTTGATGAAGACACAATAAGGCTACAAAGAATGTTTGAGTAGGCTATACTATAATGAAATATCTCTATCCTTTCAATGACGAGCAAAATTGATGTTTTACATACATATCGCTACTACTATTAAGCCTGTTGTTGTTATTGCAAGATTCCAATATATATATATTTTGTACCATAGAAACGGCTCATCACCTCTTGGGAGTGATTGCATTACCTGGCACTGCACCGTCCGGCCATCAAATAAAGAACACCCAAAGGCGAATGAATGTTGAACCAGCCATGACCAGAAAAAAAAAAAAAAAAAAATAGAAAAAAAATAGAAAAAACATAGAAAAGAAGATAGAAGGATCCGAATAAAGACTCAACCAGAAGTGAGAAAAACAAAAAAGAAAGCCCAACGCGGGGCTCGAACCCGCAGCCTTGAGATTAAGAGTCTCACGCTCTACCGATTGAGCTAGCCGGGCAAAGGGAAAGAGGAAGTTGAACAGCCCAACGCGGGGCTCGAACCCGCAGCCTTGAGATTAAGAGTCTCACGCTCTACCGATTGAGCTAGCCGGGCTAGTTCGGTGAAAGGTCCAGAGGAAGAGTGCTACTAGTAGGGAATATTACTGATCAATCTTTCAACCTGATCTGTATCACGTGCTCAGGCCCTTTACAGACAGATGCATTAGTGGCATATCTTAGAGCCATTCCATATGCGAGATAGTGCATTAGTGTCATTGTTAGAGCCATTCTGTGGCCGTGCATTAGTGCTATGCTTTAGAGCGATTCTGTATGCACGATCTTGCATGAGCGTCACTTTAGAGCCATCTTGTGGCCGTGCATTAGTGCTATGTTTTAGAGCCTTTCTGTATGCATGGGCCTACATAATGAGATAATCAGTTACTAACGTAGACCTGACCTCCCATGTTCGTCACGCTGCATCAACTTAAATTGTAGAGTTATCATAGAAATTGAGTATAAGAATATCTTTCAATCAATCCATGCTGCATTACCAAGCTACCCTAAGCAACGCGGTTTACTGTCGCCTCTTTCTTACCCTGCGCGAGTACCGTCCGATCAAAGAAGGTGTGTATCGACGAAGTGTCTAATTAAGTATATTAGCAAACGCTACAGATCTTTAGAGAGCCATAGCCTACCAACTGCGGTCCACATCGGACACCGTAGTCGCTTTTTTTGTCATCCGCAGCTCTAATTGCCGTGGCGAAGAGACATTCGCGAAGAGAAACGCCGTACGCAGACGATTGCGCCGTTGCGCTTATAGGTGGAGACATGAGAAAGTGGGTATCATCCTGACGCTTGACAAACCACGTATGTTCATAGGTTGTAAGAAAGCCATAGCGGCAGTAGTGGTCGTCCATATAGCGTGCTACCTGACCTATATCGTTAACAGTACAGTCAGCTTTTGATATTTTTTTTGGAAAGATATATGACCACATGCCTAGCTTAGCGGACAGGAAATTGTGCCAGGTCTGGCGTTTCTTCGGTGCGAATGTCCAGAATGTCTTAGCCTCGCCCACTACTCTGATAGTATGTGTCTTGCGATCCACCATTACTATATCGGGTATGAGTTTCGACTTTGCCTTCTTGATCTTCTGTAGGCCGCGCTTTCGCTTCTGCCCTTTCTTCACAGGATCTTGGCGTCTATTCACACCATATTGCGCGTCTCCGAAACGGACTCCGAATTTCATCAGCAGTTACCTCCCCAACAGGGTGCAGTACATTATTGACGAAGCGACCCTGTACTCCCAGTTCATTGGCCACGGTGAAAAACTCCTTGGCTACAATAGAATTGAAGGCCTCGTATTTACCGCAGTAGGGCTCTACGAGAGCCTTGACTTCTTTAGCAAAGTCTGGCCAGCTGCGCACCCGGGTAGGGCTCAGTGTGAACTTAGACGTTCCAGGCTTTAGGGTCCTGAGCCCAGCGTCAGTGATTAAGTCTGGAATACGAGACCAGAGCTTCTGGCGACGATCGTGTGGAAGCCTCAAAGAGGACATAGTATTAGCACTACGTAGCTGAGGCATGATGGTAGAATAGCCCCTATCGAGTTGTAGCAAGTCAGAAGGTGATGGAGAGCGATAATTTCTCAGATATTACGCTTATGTGAAATGCAGGTAAAAGTACGTTAAAGTGTAGAAGAATATACGTTTCTGTGTCTTTTATATCTAGTTTGAGCATATTCACCTGAAATTACATTCATTGCCACATGGAAGCTGAATGAAAGCTTAGTAAATACTGTTTAAGGATAAGCGAAAAACAAACGAAAACCAAGCAAAACAGAAAATAGCGCATTTAATCGAGACTTTCCCTGGTTCGCAGGAATCCCTCATATTCCTTCTGATTGTCAAAATTGACCGTTACTGAGAGCTAAACACGGGATAGAAGTGGAGGCTATTACAGATTTGATTGAATATGAGAAGCAGTCAATATGTTAAACCTGCTAAAGAACACAGCCAGTAAGAAGCAGTATTCGGTCCTCAAAGAAAAGTACATTAGGATTTGGTAGATGTGCCAGTCAGATCCAACGCCATCCTATGCTCTCGTTGGGCGCTGATTTTCCTTCTTAGTCGGTTGGTCGGGTGGCGGCACTCCTGGCTTCGGGTCTTGCTCAGGCTTACTGTACGGTGCGCGCCAAATGTTAAACGCCTCCACATATGGGCTCTCCTCATCTATTGGGAACGATGTGCTACTATTTGGGTCGCTGAATCCGAAGCCATCGAGGTCAACCAGATAAAGCTTGTTTGTCCGAGCCTCGTAATTAAGATACCCGGCCTGTTGCTGGACCAGCACATAGCCTTTCGTGCGCATGAACCTGCGATGAGCCCAGTAGTGTTAGTAAATATACGTATTTCTCTTGTAATAGGGCAGAAACAGATGACTCACTCCAAGGTATGTGCGAGCTGGGTTCGAATACTGTCAAGCTGCTGATCGGTAAGCTCATCTTGGATATCTTCGACATTTTCGCCTGGAGGTATCTGCATGACCAAAAAGTCGATATAGCCATTCGGGAATGGCATCCAATCTTCCTGAGACTGGGTTTCGTGACAATAATACTTTGGCCCTAATCCACGCTCACCCAGGAAGTCTGTGAGCTGGACTTCGTGGCAGTAATGTTCCTCAGCCAACTCCTCAGCCTCTGCGGGATCGTCAAAGTCAAAATCCACTGGGTCCAGTTGGTAGCGGATTTTGAGAAAAGACTCTAGTCTGTTTTCCAGGTTTATAACCCTTGTTAGAACCCGGCGTTGGCCATGCTCGATATCCATGAACTCAGTGAGTTGTTCCACGACCTTGAGCTTCCTCCCTTCGATATCAAAGACTCGTCCTCTGAAACTAGAGTCCCACATTTCTGCGCTTTCGTCTGGATAGACACTTGAGTGAAGAATAGCAAAATAGTTGGACTCTCGGGGCGGACGGTTTGGTATGAGTGGAAGCGTTTGAAATTTTCGCTGTGAGGTAGTAGAAGTCAACTTGAGTCACCACCCGGCATCATTCACTATGACGCTCAAGCAAGGTCATTACAGAACGTCATTACCTGCTACTTCTTGGGATATCGATGATCAAGACGAGAATATTCACTCTGGAGTAGCATTATCTACTATGCTATGATGATGCTACTGATTCATTAGTTTTAAGTTAATACCAATGTCATCTATGCTCGTCATTCCGGGCTGATTTATACCCAAGCATCTAAGTAGGTAATCATTCAGCTTTCAGGAAACTTTCGAAGCTCACTGTACAAATGCGGATACAGGATGAGATAGTGCGAAGAAGATCTACCGCGGACCATGAGTGTAGAGTATTATTGCCTTATTTTGTAGCCGCCAACTTCCATAGTCTGGAGTAATCAGTGGGTCACGTGACATACATCTTGCTAGCCCATGCTTCACAAAGGGCTATATCAAGGCACGCCCTATACAGCGAAAGCAAGCAACCAAAAGAGAATGCAGCAAAAGAGTGACTGTATTGAATACATAGAGCGCGCAGCGGAGCAAGCGCGAAATAGTGCTTTGTGTGGCGGCCTGAGCGCTAACGACGTGACCAAGCCTACATGGGTGGTTGCCTCAACAGGTTATGTATAGCATGGGAATTCCTCTCGATATAGATGCATGGACCTGCAGAAATACTAAACTTAGCGAGATTTGATAGTATTAGTATTACACTTATTGTCTGCTATATGCACGACACCCCATTAGCTTCACTTTTAGAGCCATCTTGTGGCCGTGCATTAGTGCTATATCTTAGAGCCATTCATATGCATGGGCCTACATTTGACAGCTGCCATCTGCACGGAGCTGCCTTAGTGTACCTTTTAGAGCCATTCTTCATGCACGGCCTGAATGAGTCGCTCTAAATATGTGGGCCTTGCCCAAGTAACCAATGAAACTGTTAGCTATCAGGGGTTTATGTACCCACTTTCTGCACACGCCAGCATAATGGCGCTAATGCACAGTCTTGCAGGTTGATGGCTCTAAGTCTGCGGGACACATTGGCATATCCAATCACGCTATAGAATAGATAGTATGTGGGGCTCATGATCAACCCAGGGAAGCTGGGACGGATGCACAATTATACAGTACACATAAATTCTTATCCCTGCAGATTACATAATTTCCGTTATATTGCAGCTCTTGGCTATTAATAAATGTGGCTAAAGCTAGTAAAATAAACTGTATGTAACACGAGGTATTCCAGCCTGTGGGATATAGCCAAGACATATAGGTGACCCAAGACCTCATTGCTTCAAATACGAGCCATTGGCGTTCAATAGTGCAAACCTTCCACGGGTTGCTTTGGGAAGAATTGGTAATCTGCAGGAAAGAACTAAATGACTTTCCAATGGAAGGCCATAAAGGCCGTAAAGACACGACTGTATGGTCACTGAAGACATGGCATATAATATCTGGCTTACTCCAGTTGGAGTATATCGTAGTGGATGCAATATTGGGTTTGAGATTCATCAACATGACTGATCATCGGGCTAAGCGACAAGAAAGAATCGGCTCTCAGATATGGCAAAGATTGATGTGGCGAAAATCACGAGAACCGCGAACAAATGTAAAGATTGATGGAAATTGGGAGATACAGACTGGTTTAGACGATTTCCCGGATGACCCTAATGACAAATGGGATGATAATGATGATGGTCATGATGGCAATAGTAGAAGAGTAGCCCATTAATACGTTACGACCCTGCATGGGAAGCAGAGGATCCATGTTCCCGGGACATCTGCAGCACGGCATCGGAAGGTTTTACTCACTCGTTTGCTGTGACAGGTCAGGTGATTACCAGCTTGTCAGCATGCTCATCTAGACCAACTCTACCTCCCCAACCCCTCGTATACTCCTGGCACATTGCTTTTGCTCTCGTCTAGAGTTTATATAACCTTTTCATCACCTGCCTGACGTCTTTCGGTTCGACAGCAGTTGATCAGTCTTCACATCCTATCACAGCATCTAGTTTCCATTCACCCGCCCCCAGGTCCCTCTCTTTCCCCAACAAAATCGACCCCATATCAAAGGCACCTCCCGTGACAGTTTTCTGTCGAAAATGGGTACCCTCATGGTAGTCATTAACCCAATCATGGCCGCTGGCGGCTACGACAATGATCGCAGAGTCGGTACAGGACGTGTCCTTCCTACCAAGTTTAATCCTCCCTATCCTGACGATACACCACAATCCCTTTTCCCACCTGGCATCAAAGTCGACTGTGTGCCGCAGGTTCATCGCTTCATTCGACGAAACAATCCCCGCGAGCTCCTCATCTACACCAATGGCACCTGTGTGGAGAACGGCGGAGCCGTCCCCAGAGGAGGCTGTGGCGAGCCCAGAGGGGGCTGTGGTGTTGTCTACCGGTCTCCCGTGGACCTTCCTGAAGGCAAACTCAATCATTTCAAGATCCCTCTCGAGATCAAAGGACCCAGCGGCCGAAGACATCCCCAAACAAGTGAGCGAGCTGAATTGCGGGCCGTAATTGCAGCCCTCCGGTTCCGCTGCTGGACCGGAGAAGGGTTCAACAAACTGGTGATCGCGACTGATTCCGAGTATGTGGTGGAGGGAGCAACTTGTTGGGTCCAGGGATGGATCCAGAGGGGCTGGAAGACAAGAACAGGGAATCCTGTTAGCAATCGGGACTTGTGGGAGTGTTTGCTGGGTGAGTTGGAGCGGTGGTATGATCATGGTATGGACATTCAATTCTGGCAGATTTCGAAAGAATGGAATACCGAGGCGGCTCGCCTTGCTGAAGAGGCCGCATTGGAGACCCCAGCTAGAGCGTTCGGCGATGTCTCCGGATACATGGTTTGATCTGAATGTGTTTATGAAAGGTCGTCAATGTTCTCGTTTCTTGTTTGCATGGAAGGGCATATAAGACTGTTCGGGTATATGGTACGGCTGTTGTTGCTGGAACTAAAGATTGTATCTAAAGCTTTTTCAAACTATATATAGGGTCCTAACTTTGAGCGTGTAGTGCGGGCCTAGTGGCAACAATTATCCCCTCTCGTACTGGAAGCATAGGCAGACTGACCTTTGTGCATGTAGTAACAGCACCACAATTCAATTGGAAGCTTCCATCGTATTCAAGCGTCATTACTACTATCCCAGAGATTAGTATCATCATATTAATCCTCAAGATCATGTACTAAAAATAGCCACTCAGATCCAGAGCGCTCGATTCACGTGACTTAAGAAATCAAGCGTTTGTGGCTATACGGAAAAAGACGCTAGCATGCAACTAGCTACACACTCAACCTGGTCCTGTTGGCTGTGAGATTCACCCCCTCGCGGGACAAAACGTCCTCCAAAGTGGCCTCGCAAAACGCACCAAACTGCTGAACAGTAGCTTCATCTGGTCGATTACCAACGTGTCACTTCCGGAGAGCAACGGCATACTCCAGCACAGCTTTAATGTGCTGCCGCAGGGGAGGTCTGGATAGCAGCTTAGATCACTGGGATGGTGCTTGACTGCTAACGTGCTGCAGAATTTTATCCGGGTTCGTCTTTGGCGCCAAACTCAGCTGTCGGGGTTTCGGGACGGCGTATCTAATAGGGAGCACCCTGGTATGAAATAGGGGAGGTGTTGCACAGCTTTAAACTTCTCGTTTTTCTCTCTGTTAGAAATGAAATGAGACGGTAACGAGGATGAAAATAAAGGGGTAAAATACTAATGATACTTATAATGATAATATAGCCAAATAAAATCGAAATCAAAATAAGGAATAAATGGGTTGCAGATCCTGTTCCACTGCACGGGAATAACCGGGTCCAAGGCCTAACCAAACTATAAGACCCTCGCGAGTGGTCCCGATATGGCCCGTGCCGAAGAATTCGAACCCATCGCAGACAGTTAACGGTTCCCGTCTCGACCCATACTTTATGAACCATGGATCAATGCTACTTTTCAGTTTCAGGGGAGCGCCGTGAAAGTGGGCCGATTGGGCACCCAACGATGAAAAATCATTTATAGTTGTTTGTGGTTAGGGCTTGTTTCTACTACAAGTCCAGGCCTTGGAAGGTATCAGTCCACCGGGATTTGTTCGGGTTCAGCATTCTTGGCATCAGACGTGAGTCATATCTATAGTGGTGACTATGTTGTATCTATTATAATGGTTGGATGGAATTAGTAAGATAAAGTAGATTCTATTCCGAGATAATTTGACAGGTAAATAGGTATATTAGAGCATGGATGTGGTATAGTATAGTCTATAAAGGGAATTCGATGGGTATGAGAGAACGCGCTTGTAACATGGAAAGAAACTCGTGTGGTATCGTGAAAGTCCCTCGGTGTGGTTGTGGGAGTTTTCGTGGCTTTTCAAGGGATTGGTGTAGTCGAAGTGGTGCTCGTTGTGCATTCATATGCTTAGCATACGGTAGCGTCGATAAGGTCAGAACCCACAGGGCTGTAATCAAAGAATACGTTAGCGGCCGATGCGATCAGCTGCGGGTAAGTCCACACCTACATCTAGCGCCCCTGTCCAGCATAACGGCCAGGTTGGAAGTTGTATTCATCGTCCCAGTGCTCCTTCGCAGCTAAGCCAGCTTTCCAAAGATCCAGGTGTTTGCGAAAGCGCGATTTGAGATTGTTTGGGGAGGATGGGCGGTGTACGCCGTCCTGAACGTTGAGACTTAATGATGATGGAGAGTCCATGTTGAGCGGCTGTGTGATGAACCACGAGGAAGTATGGGAATATTGGGAGAGGAAGATGTTCTGATTCTACGACCTGAAATGACCAGGCTGGCCTATTCTTATATGTTTGTCACACCGGGAGAAAAGAAAATTTTTTATTGTTTTCTTTCTTTTTTTATTCCCTCAAGGATAGCGTAAGCCTTGTCGGTTTTCTCTCGGCGCGGGTAATTCTCGGAATCTCGGCGATGGTTCGGTTTCACGTTTTCCTTTCCATATACCGAGATTTCCCGCACCAGTCACACAGCACGGTTCCTGACAAGTCATCCTTGGTCAACACAACAGTCTCCCTGCCAAGCCATTGCTTGTATTGGATGAGTTAACAATTTCATCATTCCTGTTCCTATCTCGTCGTCTAGTCGGCCTAGATCTGGAAATGCTCTTTATCACTGTCTCCCTGCAGTCTGCCTTCCTTCCCAAAAGCCCCAGCTATGGAACCGCTGGACAGCCCCATGCGACTGATGAGACCTGTATGGACTCGATACCCAGTCACTATCTCCCTGGGGTCATTACATGTACCATCTACTAACGATAGACAATACGGACCGCACCTCGCAACGTGGTGCAATTTGATTGCTACTATCTAGACAGAGTTAGGTGAGTTGCCTTGCCCGATCCTGGTGGTCGCGAGAATTTGGTGGCACCACACCGTTATACGTCGACCTGGTTCTCAAACTCCAAATCCTAGGGTACGAGCTCCCATATCTATACCCAGTCAAACTTTGACGATCTCGGCCCACAATATGTACCAAGGATCGGTCAGATGCTGTAGTCATTTCAAATCACGTGTTACGGACCATATCCGGTTCACATGATTAGTGCCAAGGCTAAGCAATAGGGTTTGACGGATGACCTTTCTTACTGAAAAGCAAGAGCAAGGACTACCAATTGCCGCAGTTTACCCAAATAGTAACAGAGTGACCGATATGACTCATCGTATCCTTATCTTGTCTGATTGAATGTTCAAAAGACCATTTTAGCGTTCAATCTATATAATATCACTATTAAATAATATAACATTAGGTAAGTTAAGTCTATATCACTGAACCTAACTATGTGTAACCCTCGACAGTGGCACAATGCCGACCATGAAGCTTGAGAAAAGAAAACAAAGTCAGAACCCGCCAAATGGGGTGATAACGAGTACAGCAGGCTCTATATCGATACCCATTAAGAAAAACAACGACTTTTAGTTCTTCACGTCCGCTCTTTGGGCATCCCGCTCCCTCTCCTTTCTTCTCCACCCAGCGGTAAACCTCCACTGAATCAAAGGTCCTACCAATGCGAGCAGCTGGACCGCGACGCAAATGGTAAATGCCACCCCAACCCCAACACTATTGATAAGAGGCATGATGAAGCTTGTACCCCCCGCAGCAAAGAGACATCGTGCAAGGTTCAAACTGGCACTCGCCGCAGCGCTTCTATCGGGGAAAACATCAACAAGATAAGTCATGATGAGGGACTGTGTGGAGACAGCAGTCCAGCCCATGATGAAGGTCGAGACGATAGGTACAGCGATATGTACCTTGCGTGAATAATTAATCGTCCAACCAAACAAGATGATAGAAAGGCACTGGAGGATGGAGAAGATTGGCACAAGTCGAAGGCGGGCCTTTTCGAGGGGAAAGTTCTCTTCGCGTGTAGCCGCAGTTGTATCCTCTCCCTGCTCTGCGTCAAGCGAAGCCTCGTACCTGGCCTTCACCCGACGATAGTCGGCATCGAGAATTTTGCCAGTCACAAGTGTTCCAATCATGGATCCGACGCCGTTCGCAATGAACGTCAAACCGATTTGCATCTCTGACAAACCATAGCGGCTTTCGAAAAGGGAGGACATTGCTGTGATGCTCATCTGCCATACGGCGTAATATACCGCGAGAAAAATGATAATAGGTGCCGCGTGGTTACTGATGAGTATACGGAGCGGGCCCAAAACATCGATCTTTTTCTTTGCGGCGCGCTGCGATTGGCCGTCCGGAATCTGCTCCCAATCGACCTTGGTCGTTTTTTGATAGATATCCAGCGGAAAGTTCACCAGTGGGTTGGAAGGCTTCAAACTTCCATTACCAACGATCGATCGAAGAGTCTCTGGCAGAAACACGATGAGAAAGCAAAGGAAAGCACCGCTGTAAATAGTCAAGAACCAGAAAATCACCTTCCATCCCAGGGACCCAGCAATTGCACCTCCGATTACGGGACCGACGGCAACAGGGACGAGCAGACCAGCTTGGAAGATTCCCATGTAGCCACCTCGTTCGGCCCGAGTGGTGATGTCGCTGATAACGCCAGATCCAATTGCAATCGTGCTAGCGCTTCCAGTACTTTGAAGACATCGGAGAACAATAAGTGTCGCGTAGTTCTTCGTCTCTGCAAGTCCAATACAGGCGACTAGAAAGACAATGAATGTGCACATGTACGCTGTCCGGCGGCCTTTTACATCAGAAACTGGGCCCCAGAGGCTGGGTGCTAGACCCTGGAAGATGAGATAGGAGGTAATAGTTAGGTTAAGAAGTTCGATGGAGACATTGAGATCATTTGCAATTGTCGGTAATGCTGGGAAGTAAATATTGGATGCAAAGCCGGAGACTATTAAGACATTAGTAGGCTACCAAGAAATAGGGACTTGGTATAACGTACATGTTGCTGCAGTTGATACGATAATGATGATCAACCACTTCTGACGCTTATCGAAGATACTGTAGGGCGGTTCGGGAGTCGCAACCCCAGTCGAAGTGTCCGATGGAACCAGTGTCGCATTGTCATCTGAAGGCATGATGTTTGTTATTCGTGTCTCTGAGAAATAATTTGTTCGCAATGGACTGGGATGTAACGCGACTGCTATAGAGAGCAGCCCTCGCTATATACAATGTCACCGTGGCAATCCCGTGATCATCCCGCAGTAATTTTGCGGGATTCGGACCTGAGCCCCGGACTTCCGATTCTCAACTCCGTTCCATGAAAAAGTACATTTTCGCTCTTTTTATTCCAACGCATCTATAAATAGTGCAACCAAGCAATTTGAATCAAAACCGATAAAGCCATGCTCACTGTCTCTCTAATTATCAGACCACCATGGATAGCACTACCGACGGCTCTATCAACTTTGGCAAAAACTATGCCGTTCTAAACCTAGACTGGATCACGGTGCTTATCGACGCCGTCAAAGACACCCCTGAAGGTCAAGCCTTGATCGAAAACTTGGCCAAATGGAACGATGCCGTTCATGCGAGAGCGTCTCGTCCTCTAACCGTTTTCTCTACACTCTCTTTCTATCCCGGCCAGCCAGAAGTCCAAGCCGGTACTCCTTTTGCCAACCTCATTGCCCCCTTTGGAGAGTTCAGACACGGTTCCCCTGAAAACCAAATTTACAAGGCATTCAGCGTGGACAGTCAAGATATCGTTCTCCCAAAGACTAGGTGGTCTGCAATGACGGGAAGTGTACTGGAGCAGATCTTGCAGGCACATGGAGTCAAGACGGTTATCATTGTATGTAAAAGGTACCCCAACAAAGTGAGAATGTGCTGACACCGTGAACAGTCTGGATTGACTCTTTCTGGCGTGGTGATGGCTACGATCTATCGGCTCTTTGACTTGGACTACAATGTCTATGTTATCAGGGAAAATGTCTTGGAGTTACCCGTTGAGCAGCATTCGGTATTCGCGAATGTTATGCTCGATATGTTACTGCCAAAGATGGGCATTAAAGTTATCTCGGTGGATGAGGCAATAAATGCTTTGAGCTGATCTTTATGTGAGGATATGCTAATTCTCTATATTGGGTTGTATTTCTCCAGAGCATATGCCCTGCTCGTAACTCATTTGGCTATTTGAAACCAGTATATAAATCGAGGCCACTATTTATAATGGTGAAAATGAACTAAAATCCTGGGAAGCACCGAACCACGCAAAATGAGAAGGAAAATAAGAGCTCATGGCTCTAGAGCTCAAATGAGATCATGTGACGAGGAATCTTGTATCCGGGAGCCAAATTAGAGTCCGAGCTCGGACCCACTTCTCAGCTCCGACACCTCCGTCACTTCCGATCAAAGGGGATAAAACCAACTTCTCCATTACAAACACCGAAGATAGCGGCTTAAGGATAAGAAGGATCGCGGTCAGCGACTCCACCATAGGTAGTGACTACGATAACGATGAAGCATCAATACCGATGATGAAACCCTCAAGATACTCCACCTCCAGGCAAAAGGCCTGTCAGCAGTGTGCTAGTGCGAAAGCCCGGTGTGACCGCAGATCTGGAGGCAGGGAGCCATGCTCGAGATGCATGCATCGTGGCATCTCATGCTCGTATGTTCAAGATGATGCTTCTGAGCGGAATCTAGCAAGCCCGGTAGCGCCACCCAGTCCATTCTCGGTGTCAGATTCCTCGCTTACCGGCTTGCCAAGTGGCGTTCTGGCCATGAGTAACTTATCAACTTCGACATTACCGTCATCTCTGGGAACCGGAGTACTTGTTAACACTCAGAACGGGTTATCTGCGTTGGAAGATGTCTTAGACTTTTCATCTCTTGACCTGGTGTGCCCTATCAATGCCGATGATATTCAGAATCGTTGGATCCAGGCATTTATTCCGATGCCTGGACAAGCAGTCAAAAACTACCCTGATGGTGTTAGATCATATATATACTTGACTCTCAGGTCGTACTCTGCGATGGCTGTCAGTGGCCGGGGGACCCTGCCCTTCATTCATGCCAAGCAGATGATCGCGCAGCCAGCCGGTTCACCCCTCACTACCTGCCTGAGCTTAGTACGAATATGCTCGAACCAGCTTCCCGGCAGCAGTCAGGCGGCAGTTAGTGTTCTACGTCGAGAAATTCAAACTCTGGATCAGGATCGAGCGAAATACACCAGTGATGGTCTGTTTACCGCGTTTCAGTCTTACCTGATATACTCCATGGTTCTGTTCTTTATACTCGGACAATCATGCGATGATGACTTTCGCGCTATAATGACGAGCCTCCAAGAGCTAGCCTGCGCTTCATCTCGGCAAGGGTTGATATGTGCGGCTGATCAACGACGAGCGCGACCGAAGTGGGAAGAATGGATTATAACGGAGGCGAAGCGTCGGACACTTTACGTTATGTATTTGTTCGATAGTATCCTCTCTAGCCAGGAGGGTCTTCCTACCTTCCTTGGCACTGAGCTACGAGGTCTGCCTGCTCCGGCCAATAAGCTACTGTGGCAGGCAGCAACGCGGTATGAGTGGGAGAGGGAATATAACGTACATATGGCGGACTGGATGGAAGGATGTCTAACAATCGACGAATTATGGCCCACACCTGATGATTTAGGGGAGGCTGGAGTTGCAAGGAGGCGTGCAAGGGTGGACCAGTGGATGCAGAATCTTGACGAATATGGCACAATGCTTTTCGCCATCATGAGATGCACACACGGTGATTAATGGATGCTTCACTGTTAGGGATAGAGATACACAGAGTTATGAGTGCCCTATTCAAAAAATTCACCATCGTACTGTTCACGGTATTTAAATGTATTGGTAAAGCATCACGTGACACTCCACAGGGGGTAAGTTGACCTAACATTTAGCCTTCCAATTCCACAGGTTATGATAAGGTCGTAAGATGGAGTTTCATCAGCAACTCCTGTCAGAAGCACCTGTTCTAGGTCTTTCCTTATAGGGAAGTTCGTAGACCTTTTCTAAGCCGTAAGGTGCAGTTCCTTGCCCGAACAAGTATCACTGGCATTTGCGGCGCAGCACAAACCAGGGTTCAGGCCTTGGTCAGTGCATTAGCTATGCAACCAGTGTTCTTGGTTTGCAGCAACCCAACCAATCAACATCTCGTCGTTGTACAATCAGAGTGCCATAATCGCAGGTGCCGCCTGCGGCCCGTCGCTTCCTGGCCCCCACTGACTCTGGCCCCCACTAGTACAATCCCCTCTCAGTCGCCGATGATTCTGCCTCGGGAATCACTGATAAAGAGCGCCAGACCCTGGCGACAAGCAAGCTGGTGGTGGCTTTGTGTCAGCCCATCAGGCGTGGGTAGAGTGCAATTATTACAGCCGTTATCTACTCCAGATTTGTTATTTGTACGGAGTATCCAACAGCAACCAAAGAGATGGTTTCGTCCAATACCTTGGTCCCATCCTTCAAAACCCTATTAATCTTTATGATAATCCTGCGTGGGAGGTAAAGTCAAACTCTTTGTCTCCCTTGAGTACTCACTGCTCCACCATGCCCTCCCTCGCATCGAGACAAGTAGCTGTCATTGTCAGCTTCGCAATACTGAATGCATTAGCTCTGATGGCCGTGGGTTTGAGGTTCTAGGCTCGGGCCTTCATACGAAGAGAAATCCAAGTTCATGATAGTCTTACGATCATCTCGATGGTTATGCTCATTGGATACACAACCTGTCTTCTAGTTGCTACAGTCAACGGAGGCGTCGGTATCCCTCTCACTCAAGCTATAGCATCTGGTCTTAGCATCACGAGCGTGTTGAAGGCCAGTATGCTCTTGTCTAAGACAATCGGAGCTTTGTGGCTGACGAATACACCGCATGTAGACTTTCTTCGCCTCCCAGCTATTCTGGGCAATTGGAATAGCCTGCTTCCGTCTTGCGATCCTTGACCTCTACATCAACACCTTCCCTGTCCAAACGTTTTGTATCGCGGCCTATGTACTAGAAGGAATTATCGTGCTGTATCTCATTGGTAGCATTGCCACCACACTACGTCTCTGTCGCCCACTAGCATACTACTGGAATCCAAGCCTCGAGGGCTCATGTGGCAATGCATTGACTGCGGAACTCGCGGCGGCCGTCATTAACATGATCCTTGATATCATCGCCGTAATACTGCCAGTACCAGTTATTTGGAAGTTACAAATGGCCACCGAGAAAAAGGTAGCCGTTACCGCCACCTTTGGCCTGGGACTAGTGTGAGTCAGCTCACATATCTCACCCTGCTGGGGACGTTGCTGACCGAAAACCAACCAGTAGTATTTCTGTTATAAACCTAATCCGTCTCATCAAGGTCTTAGACTGCACCTTGGATCAAGACCTTACATACTGCACGGCTGATAGTGCCATTCTAACTGTGGCGGAAATGGCAGTTGGGATCATGGTGGCCTGTGCACCCACCTTTGGCCCGGTCATTTGTCCTAGCCGCAGAAGACGGTTCGCAGAGCAGGAGCAAGGCCTCAGTTGCAGCAGGCACGCCAGCGGCGGTCGGTGGCTGTTGAAGCGATCGAGACAGAATACTACTGCTTCTTCTCCTTCTACTGCCGAACACCACCCTTACAGACAGTTTATATCGGTTCATTACGATGCGAGTCTGGCAATGCAAAGTCAGAACTCTCGGACTGGGCTTGTTCAGAATATCCATCAGAACAAACATCCCAGCGAAGAATCCATGCCCGGAGACGTTGAACAAGCTTAGATATGATATCAATGATATTCATAATTATAATCTACATGTAAACAAGCCTGGAGGATCAGCTCTCCATCAAGCGAATTCAAATCTACCAAGCTATAGTTACAGGCGAATAGGATACAAAATTCCATAAAAGTATAAGGCCTAACGCGTCTTTTCTTTGCCCGATCGCTTTTCAAAAATCTGCTTCCGTTTCTCGGCCGGCTTCAAAATCTAAAAATTAGACAACACGTCACCGATAAGCATTCGTTCCACCCAACCTCATAATAAAGACACGTATACGACTCACCTTAAACGAGCACATAAGATCCTCATCGATATCCAGCATAGCCCCCGAATTATCAAACTCGCCACAATAATTCGGCGCACTGAAAAGTGTTATGAGCTGACGCTTAGCGAAGAACTCATATCCATCCTGAACACACTCATGAGCGCGGCATATAAGGTCGAGATCATGCTTCTGGATAAACCGATGAACCACATCAGGACCGAAAGTAAACGATACACCACGGTCGTTCGCGCCCCAGCCCAGAATATGCTTGCCCGGGTCGGCCCAGAGGAGGTCGCATAGTAAACCCTCATCGGGGATCTTATTGACGATCAGTACTCATCCTGAACAGAAAACGGGGCCGGGAGCATATGATATGACTCACATCCGTAGGTCGCAAAATGCGCCGGATTTGTTCCATAGAACTCAAGTCCGGGCTAAGCCCTCCATGCATACAGAATATCTTGTCTTCTATAATAGCGACGAGAGGGAGACAGTTGAAGCAATCAATGAATGTCTTCCAGAGCCTAACATTATACCTTCGCTTACATTCGTCGTAGAACCCGTAAATACGATTTATGGATGCGCATTCATGATTCCCTCGCAGGATGAAGAAGTTCTCCGGATACTTTATCTTGTAGGCTAGAAGGAGACAAATGCATTCGATTGACTGTCTGCCACGGTCAACGTAGTCGCCGAGGAACAAGTAGTTGGATTCGGGTGGAAAGCCACCATATTCGAATAGGCGTAATAGGTCGTAGTATTGTCCGTGGATGTCGCCGCAGACCTGGTGGTTATCAATTATCTTCTAGCAAGTTACAGTATATATGTGATGCCAAAGGTCTTACCTTGATAGGTGCCTCAAGTTCTAGTAGTATCGGTTGGGTGAGGAAGATCTCCCGCGCCATCCGGCAGAGATATTCGATTTCGGCCTCGCTTATTTCAACAGGTTTGCCTGGTCGTGACCCTCTTACTGCTACTAACCTCTCAATAAGAGCATCCAAGTTCACGTTGTCCCCCTCTGCCATGGTGTTGACTAGTGATCTATAAGCAGCTCTGATACCAAGGGACTGCATCTATCGACAGCAATCATTGGCGGGGAAGTCTGGGGAAGATGGAGGCTCTGGCCCGGAACAGCAGGTATAAATAAAATCTGGGAATAGAATCTCAGAGAAATTTTTCAGTGTTTCAAGCCAAGATGATATCCATACCACCGGGTTGATCCGCTTGTGATAATGTTCCTGGGGAGGTCTTTGACAATCGCGATGGATCGTCGACGATATGGGCCAGTCACGTAAATCGCTGCTCGGAGAATCCCAAGGCCTTCTGTAAACACGCTCACATTGGTACCGAATGAAAATAGCAACAAATTAAGATTTATCTTGGCTTCAAGGTGAACTCCGACTAGAATGTCGGAGTACAGCCTAGCCAATCATAATTGGCAAATTCTCACAGGAGGTTACTAATGCCGCCACCCTTAGTTATCCCACGGACAGGGTTCTATCATAAATAGTTTCTGCCTATTCAAAGTATTCCGGAACAGTTTCGTTGTTCATGCACTACATTCAAGTATCTGTTTCTATAAACTCTCGATATCATCTTGCATTTACCAATTCAACTTCACGTAGTCTTCTTCGCAGCGAAGCAATGATAGTTGACATTACGAGTAGGCCAGATAAGCAGTCGAAGCCAAAGGGATTGGACCATCAGCATACCCAGAACTTGGACGCATTGATCGAGCAATTGATGAGTTGTATAACCTTGTCAGAGGATGATATAGAGCGATTATGCGATCAGGTACAGTGTCAATAGCCTTTATGACCAAGCCATTGTTGACATTCTCTCTAGGCAAGGGAGTTGTTGCAAGATGAATCAAATGTACAGCCAGTTGTAAGTCACCTGACTAGCTACCAGTTCCAGTACACAATATAACAGCCCTAATGATCATTTTAGTCCAGCCCCGTTACAGTCTGTGGCGACATTCATGGCCAGTATCATGACCTGATCGAGCTTTTCCGAATAAGTGGACTATGTTCAGACACCAATTACCTCTTCATGGGTGGGATACCAATCCTAAAGCTGCAGTCCGAGTATCATGTCTCTAATATCATCACACCTTGCTAGGTGACTACGTCGACCGCGGCTACCATTCCGTCGAATCAGTATCCCTCCTCGTCGCCCTCAAAGTCCGCTACCCCAAACGCATAACGATCCTCCGGGGTAACCACGAATCCCGACAAACCACCCAAGTATATGGCTTCTACGACGAATGTCTGCGGAAGTACGGCAACGCCAGGGTATGGACATTATTTACAGACCTATTCGACTGCCTCCCTCTTACTGCTCTTATCGACAATTGCATCTTCTGTCTCCACGGAGGGCTAAGTCCCTCTATTGATACTCTGGATAATGTTCGAGAGCTGGACCGAGTACATGAACCGCCTCATGAAGGCCCAATGTGTGATCTCCTCTGGAGCGATCCTGATGACAGATACGGTTGGGGCATTTCGCCTCGTGGCGCCGGGTATACATTCGGACAGGACATATCTGACGCGTTCAATCACAATAACGGTCTCAGTCTTATCGCGCGAGCACATCAGATGGTAATGGATGGGTATCTTTGGGCGCATGATAAAAACGTCGTTACGGTTTTCTCTGGTATAATCTACTTCATTGTTGAAAATGGCTGGGAACGTGCTAATGGGTAGATTCTAGCTCCGAACTACTGCTACCGTTGTGGCAATCAAGCAGCTATACTGGAGGTAGATGAACAACTCAACTACCAATTGTAAGACTGATGCATGCGATGTGAGCCCTGTACGTTTGCTAACTTTGGAAACCAGTATACAGTTTGATCCTTCGCCACGGACTGGGGAACCTACAGTGCATAGAAGGACGCCAGATTACTTTTTATAGCTGTCAATTCGCCTACAACGCGATGGGTTTTAAAAGAGTTGAGTTGCTACTATATACTTCGATTTACTAATCTTGCCGGTGGCAAATGTACTAGAGGTAAGGTACTAAAAGGAATTCCGGGCACGATTGATGGTGTGTTTATATCAATTTCAAAGTTTGTTTGGGCTTGTCCTCTGCGCTTGGCAGAATATATGTTTTTGTTTTTACACCTCACCAATCAAGGAATACTTATGCAACGTTGTTGTATTCCCGTCGATTATAGCCAAAAGAAAGTGATACGCAATGTGGTTTGGAAAAGGAAACCCGAAGCAGCGGCCTTGGAATCATTTCCTAGCATATTTTCTCAGTTTCGAGGGCCAGGTAGATGACCAATTGAGTTCTGGTTCCATTTTCCACAGGAAGTGTTTATGTTTGTACAGCTTATATAATTATGCAGAATATACCGAGAGGTACGATGAACAGGCAGCCGTGCGTTTAATTGGCCAAGGGAAGCTGCCTAAAATGAATCTCTTGGCAGTCAACCCCGATCCACGGATCTTCGCGTGGGTCATGATAGGAAAGCCACTCCGAGGGTCCAAATATTATCAAGCAAATTCCCACTTAGGCTAAGTATTCTTAGTCTTGTGGTGCAACTGAGACATACTGTAGGCTAGTCAGCGCATTGAACTAATATCTTGCTGCACAAGATGCCCCGCAAAGCAAATAAAACTCATCGAATTTCAGAGCTGCCGACTGGGACAACTTCGTAAACATCCCTTTGTACCTGAACCTTTTTAACCGTGAACACTCTATCACTCTACTCGCTTGTCAGAATGCTCAACCCACATCATGTTGATGGGTTCTCCTCTTTGCCTACAGAGATCTTCGAAACGCTTCTGTCATATTTAGATCTCGACTCGATAAAGGTTTTGCGTCTGACAAGTGGAAGTCTCGCTAGAAGATGCATCGGTCCCCGATTTCTCGAGTCCATTCAACAACCTGTACTCGATGTCTCGTTGGAGAATCTTCGGTCTCTTCTCGCCTTGTCTCGCAACCATGAATTGAGCAAGAAGATCACTACTCTTACTTTGTTAGCTACGATTATGGATATTTCCGGATTGGAGCAAGACATCAAAAATGGATGGTATAGGGTTGTCGATTTCAATGGGCCCATATTTGCAGACACCGCGGTCGACTTTTCACCCGAAGAACTTGCCAAGGCGAAGGAGGACCTTATATGGTTAAAAAAGAAAAAGGAAGAGAGAGAAGCAGAGTCATCAAGCGATGTAACTGTACCCCTCAACTTGCTCTCGACAATTTAAAAGATTGGATGCTATCCACTTGAATAGTGCGGTTCTCAGAGGCCCAAAGCAGACAAGGTCGCTTGAGCGCGGGGAATGGGTCTCGCTGTGGACGCGAGCCTCAAAGGTCTTCTCATGGGTTACAACAGCACTAGCAAAGAGCCAGGCCTCGGTGAAGACATTCGACGCCTATCAAAGTAATCGCGAATGCGGCCTCGAAGCTAGCAATATCGTCCATCACGAGTTGACACATGGCCCAAAGGAGCTAGAATTGTCTTGCAAGGGGTTACAATCACTCGAGATGAGCATCTCCGGAGAGGTACAAGATGCCCTGGACTTCAAACGAAAATTAGAAGAGGAAGACGAAGAAGACGAGGATGATGACAGAATCGACGAAGAGGACGACCAAGCAAATACTAGGAAGGAACCTTGTACTTCTCAGGAGAATCAGACTGAGCCACCGAGACAACCTTCGTTCTTCCTCAGGTCTGCGCCCGGTCTTCGAAAGCTTGAACTCTCGTTTCGTCGTACTGGCGAACTAGATTTGAAGTTCAAAGAGAAATACGACTGGATCATTGACAGTATTGCCTGTGAAGCTGAGTTTCCAATGTTGGAGGCGTGTACCTTCACTGGATTTCCGGCCAAGGGCGAATCAATCCTGCTCTTTCTTGAGAGACATCCCAGTCTCCGTTCATTAAGAATTCATGAGTGCCATTTGAGCAGTGGCTCTTGGACTCCAATATTCGCTTATCTGGAGCAATCAATGCCTGAACTCCAACATTTGAGCTTCTCAAATTTGTTTGGAAAGCACATGCAAAATCACAAGTACGCACAAGCACAAGAGCTGAACGAGGATTTCGGCAGGGAGGAGAGAGAGGATGACTGGCAGGAAGCAGATGACATCGTTATTCTGCGGCCGATCTGGGACAACAATATGATACGACGCTGGACAAGTTACTCAACCTCCGTGGGCAGCGTGGTACACACCAGAAGCTTCAACCGCAAGGAATTGAAGAAGGGACTTGTGTTTCGGCCTTTGAATAAGGGACCTAGATATTCCAAAAGTTCTCCCGAGCAGTGGGGGTGGCGGAACCAGCGGAAGGTGCTCTATGGCCCTCCAGTATAGGTCAATCGGGTAAGCCACTAGATTTTACGTCCACAATGAGCTTCTGATTTTTACATGTGATAGTTTGCATGATCACACACTTAGAGTGCGAAGGTATCGAGTTGAACAGTGTAAACTAGTAATGGACATAACGACAAAGGCACAAATAAACTTGTTGTATAGTCCGTTATAGCAACTATGAGTGGTTCTTCCACCCCGCGGAAATGTAAGAATTTGTCGCAATCAACGATTCTGCATTGAAACAGGAAAGAAACTTGATCTGTCTCGAAAAACTGGATGCCATCAGAGCTGACGTGTTGGCCCATCAAGACATAATCCGAGGGTTTGATAATGCCGGTATTTTGTAAGCAACATGTAAATGCAAACCAGCTGGTTCCTGCCTTACCTGAATGGGAAAAGTGGAGAATTTGAGACCCTGGGCCATGGTTGATTTAAATCTCATTGACACTATTGACAGCTCGCTGAGACATCGAACCAAGATGATGTTTGCCCCAAGAAATTGTCGGATTTTCAGGAACAAAAGGTTCGCCAGAAGCTAGTGCGAATAGATGGATCCGCCTTACCCATCTTAAATAAGTTATAGGTATTTGATCGGAGTCTTGTTCGCCAGATTTCATGAACAGTATCCGATGGTGAGGATATATTTTACTCAAAGAGGCATGTTGTGTATGGAATTACATGGGTGACCGAATGAGGCAGGAGCTACGTTATAGATCCAATATGTGGTTCAGTCTTAGCGATTACTTCCCATAACCCGCATTACTTGGCGAAGCAGTGACGCCGAAACTACACACGTATCCAGCAAAGCCGAGGAAGGCCGAGGACTTGAGGTCATTGTGGACTATTCGGAGAGCCCAATGTGCCTATTCGTGCGCCTTCTGCGTACCATGCCGCGTGAACTCTGTATTGGAACCGCGCTGGGGCTCTTCAACGTCCTGGAGTTACAGCGTGCTCCTGAAAGTGCGATTATTGGAAGCATTCCAGATACAGACTTGAGTCAATCTTTCGAGATCAGCTTTACCCATATAGGACATCTCAGGAATGTATCCCAGTCCTCTGGCAAGTCCCTGCACCAAGTGCTGGCAGGAAAAAGTTTCGCGCAGATACAAAAAGGCGAAAGGCAAAGAGCTATGGCAATCTATGGCTGTGGGCCTCTATATAGTATTATGTCGTATGACAGCTGTGTAACCGCGTCTGGGGCTTGTGGAGGGGATGACGTCTTCCTTCTGGAAGGTACCAACTTCGTCCTAATCCGACATTATAATGAATGGGGCGGTACAGCAGGTTACATCCGAGGTCTTCTCTGCAGTGGAAAAAGCGGGCAAAGTATCCAGAGAGCAGGCGAATCTCTAGATAGCTTCCTCTCCTATTGACCATCCATCAATGGTAATTGTCTCAGGTCTGAGAGGCATACCATGTTCAAGCTGGCCGGCCCGGTTGACTTTGTCTATGAGGAGCTGAGTCTGCGACAGATTATATTGCTCCTGACATATACCGGACAACATAGTGGTTATTGGAGTCGGCAGTTAGAGGCTTCTACTAGAGAACTAATGAGCATCAGGGTGGGCTAATCTATGCTAAATATTTATATACTATCAACGGCCGGTTTTTTAACCAGAACATGTGAGAGTCTGTCCCACATTAGGTGCTGCTCCCATACCCTTATCCAATAAATACCATCAGTGTTGAAAAGTTCATGAGCGGAGCCGTTGCGGAGGAATCCTGGCTTGTGTAGTAGTAGTAGTGCCTCCCTATGTAAATGTGCTTGCCGTTGTGGTGGCTTCCGTAAATAATAAGCATCAATCAATGATTGTACGAAGTAGCATCCCAGCCAAAGGACTCAAAGGAGCCTCGAACAGCTGACTGCAGCCACATACGTTTTTAATTACACGCACAGACTTAGTTCTGCTTTCACCCGGACGTCACTCTGGTATGGCATCCGCCAGGTTGATCTGGGTCGGTTAGCATAGTACTTTTGTCATTTCGTTTGTGGTGGCGACACACCTACCGAATACAAAGGTTTTTTATTATCATGTTACTGTTTATGACGGATTAAATTTCCCTTCTCCTACATCTCACACCGACCCACCAACGACGAAAGTAGACCTTGACCTCGCTATCGCCTTCTTGTTCGATAATTACGCTGCAAAAAACCAGAGTTGACCAAGATAATTTGTTTCCATCGGTTTTAACCACAGACATAGTTGAGGTACACATGTTCTTGCTTTTGGTTCAAAAGTCTACCTCATACCAACAGTACGACCCAAGCGACACCTCCTATTTACGAATCGTTGGATAAGAATATCGCCTAACCTCTTGGCTCCTTTCTATCATGGCTTCTTCAGCGCGTACGGCCACCAGATTTGCTTCGGGTTGAGTTGCAGATATATCTTCGCTTGTCTGGACAGATACCTTAAGACGCAAGGAATGAAACTTCGCAAGCTTCTCCCGCCCGAAGAACGGGTGATGCTATGCCCCAACGCCAAGAAAAAGCCTAGAAAACAGCTACTTCTTCGGCTTAACAATGAACGCTGGAGATATTGCCATGATTGTTGGACGCTCTACCCTGACGCTCTCTGTCACGCCCGGCCGCAAAGGCCATGCTGTTTCAAATGTTACTTTCTTAAAGCAAATTTTAAATGTATGCCGTATGCGGGCAAGGTCGACATCTGTCCATGCACCAGTATCACATTTCGCGATAAACTTCATTTGATACGACAGTGTAAGGACACTCATACACATATACTACGTCCCGGCGAGATGATATATGGTGATAATGTCCCATTGAATGCCGACAACAGGAAGACATATGGGAATCTCAGACATGACTGCGAGTGTACAGGCCATTCTTCCATCGGGGTTCGAATTAGGACTGAATTTTGGCTTTCTGAGATGGACATGAGTTTATGCGTGTTTAACCAATATGAAATCAAAACACTTTGCGAAAGTCCATCAGCAAGCTTGAGCATTATCCCAGTCTGCTCATATAAGGATACAAAGAACTGGGTCAGGAGAGTCTTCCATGATGGTGGTTCGAGCTTTAGAGGCTGGGAAAAAGGCCGCTCTACGCACTTATTAGAGCATCGTGGCTGGGAAAGGGTGAAAACTGGGGAAGAAACATACACTTCCCAGGTAATAATATTCAGGAATTTGGGGGGTTGGAAGTGGCCTAACAAAGCTTGGGCTAACCACAGCAATCACTGAGGCAGTACTTGCTTTTACAGTCTTGGGCATCTGATGTATACTGTGAGATCCTCCTAGCTACTAGCTATAGCTTTAGCTTATCTAAAAATGCATGATGCTTTTAGCAGCCCTTATTGAAAATAATTCATTCTCGGCAAATGCAATGTTCTTTGATTTTACCTTGTTTAATCACAAAAGCTGAACACCCCGCGTCCCTGATCCACAAGACGAAGGTTTGAGCTACGGCATGGCCGAGCCTAGATCCGTCGATCCTCGGACCGCTATCCGGAAGTTACTCTGGAATAGAGTGGCAAACTAGTGCCATGCATGACAATTCCGGCCCATCCTCGCTTTCCGGTAATACCGAAACAAGGCGCCCTGCCTCAAGTATAACATCGGTGTATACACTTCAGAGAATGCACTCCAAAATATAACACCAATCTCATCCTATAGATCGTCACTATCAGGGCCAAAATGAACCCTGATACATTCCCTGAGCCTCCATCCGATACCATCGGTAAGTCTCGTATTCCCGTACGCCCTATTTGAGGACTCTGTATTCCGATCCGGTGCGCCAACCGGTCCGACAGATTGGTCTTCCCTTGGAAGCCAAAGCATTGAATGTACGTTCTCTCCCTCGCTGACGGTTCCGCCATTACTGGACATTTACGAAGGGAGCTAAGTGATATTTTATCCGACGCAGTTCCCACGTCTCATGTGGAATGCACCTACTCGCCCGCAACAAGCTCCTGGAGCTCACCCGTAGTGATTATGGCTACCGGTCGGGTTCGCGAGGTTTGGGCCATATCGGCATCGCCAGTCGAGCGATGCGGACATCCTTTGGGAAGCCTCGAGCTAGCCACCGCTGGCGAATCTCATGGACAGTTAATATCCCCAATTGTTTCTCCTCTGTGATGGACTGGCCTGAAGGGTTAGTCTGGGTCCGGATAGTGCTGTTTGTTCCAGAGAGAGAGAGAGAGAGAGAGAGGAAGAGAATGAGCACGAATCACCGAGTCGGTATTTCGGCTAACTGTCATCCGATGGTCGACCGAAAGCACCGCGGATCAGAAGGGGGGACGAGCGAGCAGCTGTGCTGGACCGGGTGTTGGGATAGGTCAACCCCGTGAAAATATTTTCTTTGGCGATGTCCTAGACCAGGGTACCTGGGGCTGGTGTGGGTCAGTGGGCCGCGGCTGAGACTCACAGCCAGGCCCGACCCTAAAAAAGCGGCTGGTTATGCTCTTCCTAGTCTGATCTAGGTGGCGTTCAACAGTAGAGGATTGGGTGAAACTAGAGACGGCGATGTACATACTAATTCCTTGATTATACTTACTCTTCAAAGGAGGTGCGTGCGTGTCGTGAATAGCGTCCATGCATTGGGGTGTGCCCGATCATCCAGCCTGCATGGTAAATGTAACGTTGGACCGGGGTGATTCACCTAGTGCTTCAGTCGGCACAGCACTTGAATCGATAGTCGCTCGAAAATATTTGGCCATTCCGGTGCACATTTCCGAGTAATTGGCTTGGAAATCTCTCAGGGAGCCTGCCCATCACACATTTGTGGGGTTCTGTGGCCTTTCAAAGCCCGACGACAGATAGTTTTTGTCTGAGGACAAACACGGCTTGAACCAAAGGACACCTCGACCGGTGACTACTAGACGCACGTTAGGGATGGCAAGCCGCTCTCACTGGCGACCGACGTCATACAGCAGATTATTATCAATCAAACAATCCAAGTACTACCTGCGAGTCTGGCCAAGCCCGCCAATAGCGCCGAATGGGCACAGTTGCCCGTCGGTACATGCAATCCCACGCCGTTCGATTGGTGGAGGGCGAGCAGGTTGGCCTCTAATGCTAACCTCATTGGATGGAAAATCTCTCGACCATCTGTTTCTACAAGAATAACTCTCACGTGCGCGTAGATCGGAGATAGGCGATGCACTCCTGCAGTGACTGTACCCACCGTACCCGACACGAAGAGGCAGGCTGCCCTGGCAGGATCCAGACTCCGCCTTCCTCTTTTCTGTGTGTCCCAATCAATCATCCCATACATTAGTTTTGCAGTCATGGGGATTTGCCCCTGTGATATCTTGATATATTCTTGTTCTTTGCTTTTCGCCACCACGACCAATCCCAGAAAGACTACTTGGGGGATTTGGAAGGCTTTGGTGATGGCACGATGATCGGAGCGCAGAAGCATATGACACTCATGTTGGACTTGGTGGGGCGGACTCGGCTGAGAACAATCCCAGATTAATTGTGAGCAACCAAATCCCGAGAGGGGAAGTGTGAAGACTTGTAATGTGCATACACTATTCAAAGGTAGTACGCAACTCCCCCAAGGTGGCAGTGCCCGCCTTTTATAAGCTTGCTCTTCATCTTTCGATTGCGTCTTTGACGAGACTCTTTGCGTAATCTTGCAGTCTACAGATATATGCTGTGCCGTGATTGAAGCCACGAGGCATCATGAATGGAATTCGCAAGGGTATTACACAACGAAGAGGCGCCTGCGAGCCGTGCAAGGCGCGGAAGACTAGATGTCAGTTCCCGGCGATGTCCCTCCTCTTGCTATCTTCCTTAATTGCCTCTTCCGACATAGTGGATCGTGCCACTTTGCAATATAGCGTGATTTCACTCCTTCTTTGTTCTCAAGTTGACCAAAACTCAACACTCTAGGTGTTGGAGGTAGTCCTTGCATGCACTGTCGGGTAAGTTCCCATCTTGTCTTCCAAGTCATTTCGTACGCATGTCTTTATCCTGACAGCACAGCTCCCAGAGGAAGGATAGCCCTTGCATCTATCCCCAATGTCCAGCATCAGCAAGGCCCATGTCCACCCCGTCGCGGCTCAGTCCTGCCTTGAGTCTAGTCGAACGTGACTCAGATCTGCCGTTACAGCACCCAATCAGCCCTCGGGGATGGATGGAGGCAATTGCTCCGGGTTCTTTAGACTTGTGCTGTTGGGAACTTCCCGATGTATCATGCAACCCTTGCCCGGACTGGTCGGCTGATGGCTCGGTCCTAGGAGGTCCATCCGAATCCGAGACAAGCCCTGCTACTCTTTCTCCGCCTTATGGTGACCCATCAGCGACCAGTTTAAATTATGAACAAGGAGGTGACGGAATGTTTTCTATCCATATTGTGAGGTTGCATTAAATCGTGGGACTAACGTTGCAGCCAAAGCTGATTTCTGACAGCTGCAAAAGGAGTTTCAAAGTACAGTGATCCCCGCAACTTTCGATTATAACTGGCATACTCATCAAGTACAATAGCTCGCCAAGTAACTCTAGGCTTCGACATTCCGGCACTATATTCCTCCCCACCTCTCCTCGATGGTGATCATCCACGCTACGAAAAGGTGAAACGAGCCGCACAGCTCCTCAACTGCCAAATTGTGGGCGACAAGATGACATCCTGTCTTTTGCCCGAGGGTCAAAAACCGTCGCTGGGACCGATGCTCGACAATGAGCCTCGAATTAGTACCTACATACAAGGTAAGGAGCATCTAGCTTCCAATGATCTTGCATTTGTGTGGGAGTACAACCAGCGTACTGATGACTTACAGCATGTTTTGAAACACCCTGGTAGGTTGCCTACAACTGACGGGCAGCCCCCTGGACTTAGCTGATAGCCTGTAGTGCTGGTGTCAATATGTTCCTGACTATGGCAAGTGCTCAGGAGTGTGTGGATGTTGTGCTGAAGTCCGACTGTTCCGATCGAGCCACGGTGGTGGTGGCCTATGCCGTCCTGGCGTTGGGCTGCTATCTTGTAAGCATACATTCGGGTATCAAAGGTGTCGTGGAAGGCATGTCACGGGCCGCTCGATATTTTCAACGAGCGTTGTCAGAATCGAACTATCTGACAATGGATAGCGCGACTGTTCGGGCATTTCAGGCAAGTGTTCTGTCCCGATTTCGAGGTCGATACAGCTAACGTTTCCATCCAGGGGATTCTGATCATGGTGGGTCGGCTCAGAGGTGAAGCCGTACAAAACAAAATTAACCGGTGGCAGATCATCTTCGCAGACAAATCCGGTCATCACACCAAACCCCGTCTCATCACCCTCGGTGTCCAGTTCGTGCAGGATTTGGGACTTCATAGCTCTCGGCGCCTGCGACAGCTTTGCACCCAGGCCGACGAACGATTGCTCAAGAATGCCTTCTGGCATCTCTATGCCATTGAAAAAGCCGACGCGGTGGACAGAGGCCGATCTTCGGTGAGAGCCCTTCCTCACCAAAGAGGAGAAAAGATAATCTAATATCAAACTCCCTAGATGATGTGCGACAAGCTCACCGACTATTCGCCCAGTGATGGATGCCAGAACCCTGATGAAGCACGGTTGACGCTTCAATGTTTATACGGACGTGTCTGCGATCGTGTGATAGATTCGCTCTATAGCCAAGTAGCCCTCCGAGCGCCACGAGTTGACATGTGCCGTCAGATAGAAGATGCATATTGCTTGGTTCAATCATGGCTTGGTATCCTCCAGACATATAACCATTCGCTCAATTCTCCTTCAGTGCGCTCTTCTTGTCTTGAGGAAAACATGGAGGCAGAGGCATATTTGAGCTCTTATTTTCTTACATTCTTGATTCACGGAAAATGGCTCCAACTCGCGCAGCAGGGACTGGCTACTGAGGAGAGAGAGGCCTATGGGCGAAGTGAAGCACGATGTCTCGCTGCTGCGCGATCGGTGTTGGAACAATGTAGCCAGCACACCCATGTCCAGATGCTGGCTAATATGTAAGGCCACCCCAATAATCTCGTTGAGAAGCTGGTCGACTAACATCGAGTTAGGAGGTTTCGTTCGCTTCCAAAAATCGCGGCATGCATTCTCGTTCTTATAGGGCAATCGTGCGGCCGATTGGATGAAGAGCGGATGTACCTGCAAATGGCATCTGGATTTTATAGTCGTCTTGCCATCTTCATGCCCGTCCAGTTGGGTTTGTTAATGGAGTTGACGGATATATCGGCGTAGCGATGAATGCGAGACGGGCGGCTATCATACGCAACGCGAATGAAATGAACATCAAAGTCAATTACGTTTAAACTCATAGTCCACAAGCAACTGAAGTTTCGCTGTCGTAGTAAAATAAATGATAATCTAAAACAATAAATAGCTAAATACAAAAAAATTCTAAACAGTAGTCCGTCGATCACTAATTCTTATCTTATCACCCCAAAGGTAAACCCACAAGGTCCCTAATTCGTTTGCTCAACAAGACCGCAAATCTTGGTAACTTCGACACAATCAGTCCTCAACTTTGCCAATATTTTCCATGGTCCGATCTCAAGAAAAGAATGTATTCATCCAGCACTTCAGGATGCGGGTATATCTCCAAAGATGTGACCACAACACGCAGGATGTAAGACCTGCCGATACAGAAGCTTCTTGGAAATCCCACCCACTGATAACTTACAATCAGAGCCGATTTCCGAGTCCTCCCACTTCTCACCATTGGCTTCGCAACTTACCAGATCGACCGCACAAATATTGCTAGTGCGCTAACGGGAGGTTTCGCATCGGACATTGGCATAAGCCAAGATATCATTAATCTAGGAAATCAATTAATGTTTTTGGGTGTGATTGTCCTGGAAATACCGTCAAATATGGTCCTACAAAAGGTACTTCTTCTCTTACACTATCTCATGCATAGACATTATCCTATGAATTCAAATAAGCTCAGTGTACATGTACTAGGTCGGACCCCGCCGCTGGATCAGTGCCCAGGTCTGCATCTTCGGAGTCATTGCCGCATTGCAGATCTTTATTCGGAATAAGACCGGTTTCCTGCTTACGCGAAGCATACTGGGTCTCGCGGAGGCCGGGTATATCCCAGCTGCTATGTACACTCTTTCAACATGGTATACGAAGGAGGAGTTAACGAAGCGCATTGCAATTTTTTTTTTTTGGAATGTTTGGGGGCGCTGCGGTGTCGCCGTTACTTGGTGCTGCCTTGCTCAAATTAGATGGGAAGGGAGGGTTGCATGGTTGGCAGTGGATATTCTTGCGTGAGTACTGGTTTCTTCCACCATTAGCCGTTATGGAACTTTACTGATATCAGTAGTGGGGGGAATATGGTCGGTCATTATGGCGATCGCTTTGTTCACGTTACTGCCGGAGAGAGAAGGCGTTGCTAGTGAATGCTCTGATGTAGAGTCCGCCTGCAAATCCCAATCATGGAATGGGTCCACCTCTGAAACAATTCCTGTCAAGGTGGTATGGGAAACACTCGCAAACTATACCAAATGGCCCCATTTCCTCGCCACGGCATGTGTCTTCGCTACCTGGAGCCCACTCACTACGTATACTCCGACGATCGTCATGTCACTGGGGTTCTCTCGCATCCAGGCAAACGCTCTCGCTGCAATAGGGAGCTTACTCACTCTACCCGTCATTGTCTTCTTCGCATCTCTGAGTGACTGGTCACGCAGACGGGGGATGAGTGTCATGCTTGCAATTGCTGTGTATCTCGTCGCACTCGTTCTGTTGAGGGTTCTGCAGGCACGGGTCGATAGATGGGGACGGTCTGGCCTCTGGACGACTGTTAATGGGTTGGCGGTCGGGTATCATCCTGTTCATAATGCTTGGATTCAGGTTAATTGCTCGAGTCCGGGGGAGAGAAGTGTCAGTGTGGCGTGAGTTTATTTATCCTGTTTGATATCTTGCCGTGATTACTAACCTGATTGGGTAGGATGTGTACGTTTCCCCTGTTTTGAAGATTGGTATGTGGATGCTGAACATGATTTTTAGTTGTCATGTCTGCCACGGCTGGGCTCATGGCCGGGACGCAGATCTTCCGACATGATGATGGTTTGAATGGGTAAGTGTTCATCATGCAAGACAGGGAGCTACATGTTCTGATGCGACATTCACAGCTATCCGAGGGGCATACTGATCATGATATTTTTGGTCTTATCCGGCTTAATCTTGGTGGCTATTCAAAGTGCGTTTTACCGCTCATTAAACCGTTCAAGCAAGAGTAGGATCGTCCAGGAGACTTGATGGATCGTTCTTGACGAAATTGCTTCTATCTTGTACCTAAATACACAAGAGCAGCATCTACACGATCTCATTCCCTCCGCATTCGACATTGTCCTGCTCTTCTCTATTGTTCACCCCCGTCTTCACCGACTTCCACTCCGGCACAAATGTTGCCAAAACCGCCACTCCCGCCAACGCAACCGAGATATAAAACGTCCTCACCACCGCTTCATTATACGCCTCTAACGCCTCTCCCAGATACTCGGCGGGCACTCGGTTCCTAACCTCCGTCGCTCCCGCAGCGGCCACACTGGTCGCATCTACACCCGGAATATTCCTAGCGGTTAATCTCTTCACAAGCTCATGCTGAAAAATATTCTGCGCCACGATCAGGAAAACAGCACCTCCAAGCGTCTGATAGAATATCATCAGAGCCGTACCAACAGGCACGTCTTTAGCGGGTAGTGAAGCCTGCATAGCGAGGACAGTTTGCTGCGCCTCTATGCCAATTCCAGCACCCATGATGACTTGGTAGCCAGCCCATTTTACGGTCCCAGTGTCCGGAGTAAAGGTTGTCATCAGCGCGGTGCTGATGAGTACCAGGATACAGCCCATGATCATAGTGGGAGTGTAGTATCCCATGGCGGAGACTAAGGCACCGCTGAGAATGGAGAGCACAATCAGCGATACGAGCATGGGAAGGTTCATAATCCCCGATCGTACGGCGGAGGCGCCTTTGATTACTTGGAACCATATCGGGAGCTGTTTGGGAGCAGATGTTTGTTAGCGGTGGGAAGCACTATGTCGCTCTTTAAGAGCGAAGAGGATGAGGGCTCACATAATAAACAAGAATATAGAATGCAGCTCCAAGCATGGCGCTATATAGACCGCAGCTCCAGACATTTCGGTTCCCAGCTACCCTTGGTGGGATCATTGCCATTTCTTTCTTTCTGGCCTGCACAATGCAGAAGGCCACCAATGTGACCCCGAACATCACGAACAGGGCAATAATGCGACCGTTGCTCCAGGTCCATTTTGCCCCACCCCATTCGATGGCCAGTAGGAGACAAATAATGCAGGCACTGAACAGTACTGTACCTTCAATATCGAGCTGCTCTAATCTCTGTTTTAGTCGGCTACCTTTCGTTGCATCAGGAACGAAAGTAGGAGAGAGCGCATGGAATAAGAAAAGGATGACCACGGCGCCGACTCCGCCCAGGGGGAGATTGATGTAGAAGCACCATCGCCAGGAAACCTTGTCTGTGAAAGCCCCGCCCATCCTATAAATACTTACTCGTCAGCATTTACCTTTATACTTCTCGGAGAGATATATGGAGAAAAGGAGTATATCTAACAATGGCCCAGCCACGGCTGCAGCGCCCTTCAACCCCCCAAGAATACCCAAAGCCGTTGCCTGAAGCCGCAAAGACATGCTCGCAGCAATGAGCAAGATAGTCCCCGAAAGAAGCCCTGCCGCGCCTATTCCCGTGATAGCCCGTCCAAGTATCAAGCCAACCGAGGTGGGAGTTGCCGCCGACACGACGGATCCGATTTCGAAGATTACCAAATTTGTCATATAAACACATTTAATGGAGTACATGGTACATAGCCGACCGTGGAGGATCTGCGTGGCGCACATTGTCAGTAGGTAGACCGAGCTGTACCATCCCATATCGTCGAGAGAGTGAAAATGGTCCGTGATGACGGGGAGAGCAGGTGCAAGTATCGTGTTGTCCTGTCAGAGCATCAACACATTAGCTTTGCCTTTGAGTAATTGACGGCTTTGAAGCATAGAAACATAAATTTGTACCAGCGCAACTGCAAACATCACCAGATACAGCGCCAACAGTATCGCAATCTGGCGCCATTGGGTCGGTGCGTTCGTGTCGGTAGGGGTTTCGTGCGCGATTTTTTCGGAGTCACTAGGCCGGTCCTCAACGACGGAGGAATCTGCTGCAGAGTCTAACATAATCTGAGAAATTGGGACTGGGCTGGAGATGCGCAGCGGCCTCCTTCCAAATGATCATATACGATGGGGTGATCGAGCGTCTGTGGTCGGTGGAGCGGATTTCCGGCCGGACTCGGATCTGCAGCTCGGTCCGCAGATGGAAATAAATCGATGCATTATCACCAACCGGACCGGAATGGGTGTTCCACATACAACACGAGCTGAGCCCAGGTAACAAAAGAAGTCCCAATTCGCTTTACGTTATGCTCAATTGTTCTAATAATACATACTACTCCGTACATAAGCAATTCGCAAATATCCTAATCACCACACATCCTGCACCACCGCAATGGTACTACTCTACATAACCCCTGACTACTCTACTACTGTCCCTAGGAATGCTCGACCGTCAACTGCACTGCAACTGCCGAAGCCACAAACGTGGCATTGCTCGCAGCATTGGGAATGTCCTTCGCTACGGAGGCATGATCACCAGCCACAAAAACGGCTGGCACCGTGGTCTCCATCGTGACATCCTTCTGCTTGTAAATCCCATTTCCATCCAGCTCTAGCCCAAGCTGGCTGCTCCAGTCATTCGTAACGACTGTATCCGGCATATGCGTGAGAAACCCCATATCTATATAGCTGTTAGGAGATTCCCCTCCGTCTTCTTGTCCCAGCCAGACCCGCAGGGTGTCTCGCGAACCCTCATCAGCCGAAACAATTCGTTCGAACGAAAGAATTGGGCGAGATTCAATAATGATCCCTTGCGCTTCCGCACCGGCTTCTTTCACGGCGACCGTGGTGTCTTCAATGCCGTTGGTGAATAAGGTCACTTTGTCGGCGAAGCGACGAACCATCTGTCCGAGGATCAGACCCACAGAGGGATTCGCCTGTAGTTGTGAACTCTCTGCTACCAGTAGACCTGCCATTGGTGCGCCACGCTCCTCATACCCATGGCAGAGGAGGCAGTGGAATATGAGCCGGCCCCAGTTCTCGGCGTACCCATCAATGGGGGGCATGATGTCGCGTATTCCTGTAGCGAGAACAAGCTTTGAACCCAGGTATGCAGTTCCATCTTCATCAGTAACCTCGAAGCGGGTTCCTATACCGTCATGGGGTAGCTTGCGCGCTTGGATGATCTTCTTGTTGATGATGGTATTGGTGGTGTATCTATGCAGAAGGGTGTCGTGGATGGCGGCGCGGAAACGTGCAGGTTCCACATGCTAACGAGGACGCAGGAGTAATTAGCATGATCGATTCTGGGTAGGCAAGAAAGGGAAGTAACTTACATCAAATCCGAGGACATTATGCATGTGGGATGTCTGGCGGTTGCGATATTCCTGGCTGTCGAAGAGGAGTATCGAATGCAACTTGCGGGATAGCGCCAGGGCCGTGGCGAGGCCGGCGGGACCACCGCCGATGATGAGCACGTCAGCTGTGGTGGCCATGCTTATTTTCAGTTTGTAATTCTGTTTCTCCTTGATAGTTGTGGATTGATCAAAAGTAAGCTGATCAAGTCCTTGAAGCGTGCGAAAACAAGAGGGGATTGCTGAGTCCGTTAAGTAGGGCTTCAGCCCGGTTTGGAATCACGGACCGCGGATTACCGTCACGTTACAGTACGTCTCCACTCTTTTCCGGTGCAATTCCGATGCAACTTCTTTTTCAGCTCCGCAGCAATGAACTTTGTATTTGCCCTGTTAATTTATCACAGAGTATGCTCTGCTGCAGCTCAGCCGCAAATCCGGTGTTATTCTGTTTGCTTACCCTGGTTGTTTTTGCGTTAGTGGCACGGACGCCGGCAGCTGGAGACCGGTTACCAACGTGATGGGTGCATATATATAGTGTGAATAGGTACCACTACAATACAATAGTGACTATTGACTTATCTAGTTTCAGTAACTAGTGACTTCATCTTTATCTTGATAGTATTCGGTGATATCTTCCAGTGCAATAGTTCTACCTGCACAACATGAGTCGCTTTTCCTGCATCTTCCCTACCTTGACAGATGGGTATGTCTCGAATCCAGATCACACTCGTGCCGCGGGTCGGCGGACATACACAATCGACCTGAGCGGATGGAAGGCCCCAGGCAGTGAGACAGAAGCCCATATCCTGGCAGCCTGGGGCCTCGTTCTATCCAGCTACGTGGGCACCGATGAAGTGGCCTTTTACGTTGTGCCCACGACTGGTCCGGATACGACAGCATTGGCCGACTTGAAGGTCGAGGGAGATATGTCTCGCCAGTCCCTCACTTACGCTGCGGAGCAATTGTTGCACCCGGGACTCGTGGGTGCTGGCCAGGTTTCCGGAGAGACTGCCAATACCATCATCACCTTTGCGAAGGATATTGAGTCGTTATTTGTTACACAAACCGAGGTACGCGTGTCATCACCCGTACTACAGTGGCCTGGCTGGGCTTCTGGACGCTGACGGCCATCTAGGAGTCCTTCCTTTCGTTGCATGTTTATCGTGATGAGCAAGGACACATTTCACTATCACTTACCTACTACCTATCTCTGTGACCGACGTGCAGGCAGCAAATGTGGGTACTGCCATGGCCCAGGCGCTGGCCGAGGTAGGGACATGCGACAACGACAGGCTAATCAAGGACCTCAACCTTATGAGTCCGGCACACCTTGAGCACATCTGGCGGTTTAATGCCAATGTCCCCGGTATATGGGAAGAGTCTTTCCATGATGTGATTGAGCGACACGCCACTAATCGACCACACTCCCCGGCGGTCGATGCCTGGGACACGAAGCTTACCTACGCCGACCTCGTAAGGGAGGCACGCCTGCTCGCAGCGTACCTCCAGCAACGCGGCGTGGGTCCAGGCTCAGTGGTCCCCATTTCCTTCGAACGGTCGGGAGCAGCTCTGGTTGCTATGCTGGCTGTGTCCAAGGCCGGCGGAGCCTTTGTTAGCGTGCCCCCGAATCTCCCTGCTGGACGACTCGACGCCATCCTGGATGTCATCGAAGCACCGTTTGTGGTAACTTGGACGAGGTACGAATCGTTCTGGGCTGAACGTCTGCCTACGCTCCCTATCGACAACTACCCCAAGCCAGCTGCAGATACGACGGTGGAAGCCCTCGGAAAGCCAGAGGACCTTTTCTACGTGATTTTTACTAGTGGCTCTACGGGCCGACCGAAAGGTTGCATGCTGTCCCATTCGAACTGGTTAAACGGTGCTCTCCGTAACGCCCCTAGTTGGAAGTATGGTCCCGAGAGCCGTGTCCTTCAAATGCTGAGCCACACTTTCGACATGAGTCTACTGGAGATATGCACTAGTCTGGGATCTGGGGCTTGTGTGTGTGCCGCGCACAGAGGGGATTGAAACCAGCATATCCGACGCCATCAACGGGTGGCAGGTTAATCATGTTATCATGACACCTTCACTTGCCCGCGCCTTGAGACCCGACGACGTGCCCGAGCTAAAGACAATGTGCCTGGGTGGTGAAGCCTTCCCCAAGGAGATAGTCACTATGTGGTCTGAGCGGATTAATCTCTGGCAGTTCTATGGCCCCAGCGAGTGTTCCATTAATTCCTCGTCGCGTCCGATCACACGGCCCGATGCTGATCCATTGAACATTGGTCCTCCCAACTCGGCTGCTTGCTGGGTAGCAGATGTACACAATTACAATAAACTGGTTCCTGTTGGCGCTATTGGAGAGTTACTTGTTTCTGGGCCCATTGTCGGCATGGGATACATGAAAAATCCAGTAAAGACAGCCGAGGCATTCCTTGAAGAAGTTGGATTTGTGGCGAAGGATGATCCCCAGTTTGGTGGATTCCGGTTCTACCGAACAGGTGATCTTGTGCGCTGGAACTCGGACGGTACTATCACCTTCTGCGGCCGTGCTGACACACAAGTCAAGCTCAATGGCCAAAGACTCGAACTGGCCGAGGTGGAATATCAACTGGGGCTGGAGTCCGGTGTTCAGTATGCCATTGCCATGGCGCCTCAGGCGGGCCTATGCAAGAACAACCTCATTGCTATTCTCACAGTCAAGGGTACCAGCACTGGCAACCAGGATACGGCTGCCGACGAGATTCCACTGTTAGATCGCCGCGATCCGATCGTTCAGGAGACAGTGAAAAAGCTGCGTTCGCAACTTCAACACGCTTTACCGCGGTACATGGTACCAACCATCTGGGCATTCGTTGGGCGCATGCCCATGTCAGCCTCTGGCAAGATTGATCGCGTACAACTGCGGGATTGGGTACAGAAGATGAACCAGGAGACTTTCGACGCAATCACTGGCCGCAGCTTGGAAGCCGAAGATCATGTTCTCGGCCTCAGTCGGCTAGAGCAGGAGGTTCAGCTCGCCTGGGCTGAAGCGCTGAGTTTATCCGCCGCCGAAGTAGGCCTGCAGCAGCCGTTTGTTGCGCTGGGCGGGGATTCCATCAAGGCCCTAGATGCCGTAGCCAGATGTCGAGCTCGTCAGATCAAGATTAGCATGGTGCATACCTTGTCTTGCGAAGGCGTCCGAGAGGCTGCCTCTTTGGCAGAAGTGCAGGAGACCCCTGCTCAGCAGGTGGCGGAGATGGCAGTGGATTACTCGAATCTCTGGACCCGGTTGTCAGATGACTACGATCTTGACAAGCTAGGTGTAACGCAACTTGAAGAGGTGGAAGATGTTTTCCCCTGCACCACCATGCAAGAGGGCATGTTCCTTGGCCAGATTCGTCGGCCTGGAGCTTACCACATGCGCTTCTTCCACCGCGTGCAGCTGAAAGGTGGTTGCCTGCCTACCGTGGAACGCATCCAACAGGCCTGGGCATCCCTTGTCGAAAGACATCCTTCACTACGCACAGTCTTCGTGGATGACCTGTCCCCAGAGGCCATATACCATTCGATCGTGTTGCGGTCGGTTCCAATGGAGCTTAGAATGCGTGAGGTGCCGCGCGACCTCAGAGCTGAAGCCGCCCTCGCCATGTTCACGGAGGAGCTTGTGCCATTTCGTGCCAATGCCCCCTTACACCGCATGCTTTTGCTGACCTGCCGCGGAAGGGTACCTTATTTCATGTTGGAAATCTCTCACGTCATCATGGACGGCTATGCGTTGTCTGTTTTCCGACGCGAATTCATCCGCGCTTGCTCCTCCAGTGCCCCCCTACCGCGAGGCCCAGACTACCGCATGTTTGCCAACTACCATCGCACACGACAAACCGACGACAGTGCGAGGTATTGGACTAACTACTTAGCCGACTGTGTACCATGCCACATCCCTACTCATGCGGTGAGTGCACCGAGTGATGCCCCCCCTGAATGGCCTCGGACGCTGCAGCGGCGCGACTTCGGCTTTGAGAATAGTGCGGCGTTCCTGCAGCGATGCAAAGAGCGCCAGGTTACACTCGCTTGTGCGATCCGCGCTGCATGGGCGCTGGTGCTGCGCGCCTATACCCAATCAGAGGATGTTTGCTTCGGCTACGTCTCGTCCGGACGCAACGTGCCGGTGCCCGAGGTCGAGACCATCTTTGGTCTGTGTCTCAGTATGCAGGTCTGTCGAGCAAGACTAAGCGAGGCTTCCACGATTGCTAGTCTCGCTAGGAAGATCCAGGAGGATTATGCCGCTAGTTTGCCGTTCCAGCACTACCCGTTGGCTGAGGCACAACGCGGGCTGAAGCAAACACACGGACAGGGGCTGTTCAACACGGCGATCTCCATGGAATGGGTGCCTCCGAGTGTAGAGGATGAGGATGCCTTGCTGGATTTGGAGGAAATTTGTGAACAGGATGACCCGACTGAGGTGAGTTCGAAATCCAGCCTCCTGGCCGTACCCCTACTGATGACATGTAACTCGGCACAGTACGACATCGCCATCAGTGTGGATGTCCATGAAGGCCACATCAAACTGGGCTTCCTCTATTGGCCTAATTTGACGGACTTCGAGATCACCCATCTAGCCGAGGCCCTGCGGGGTGCCATGAACCGCTTTGCCTTCCAGCCCGACGAGGCTCTCAACACTCTCAGTCTACTGCAGGCTAGTGATGTTTGCTCCGCCCTGGCTGACGGACCTACGCTGTTGCCTCTCGAAGCCGTCCGCGGCAATGTGGTGTCAATGATTGACCGCTGGGTGACGCGCCAACCGGAAGGCGCTGCCATCGATGGATGGGATGGATCCCTGAGCTACAAGGAACTGCATGAGCAGTCTTCCTGGGTGGCTCGCAATCTTCTCCACCAAGGCGTACAACTCGGAGACCGCGTTCTGGTGTGTGCAGACCGGTTGAGTCGTACCGTAGCCACCGTTCTAGGTATCGTGCGAGCCGGATGCGTGCTGGTGCTCTCGAACCCGACGGACCCAGAGAAGCGCCTCCAATGGCTGGCAAAAAAAGTGCAATGCTGCCCTGATCGTCGCCGATCCTACATACGAAGAGCGGTTTGCGACTGCTGGTGCCCGTGTACTATCAACAACCACTGTCTGTGCCCCAGCAGCCTGGGACTACGAGTTCCCATCTCTAGACGAACATGACCTCGTCAGCATTCTCTTCACTTCCGGAAGCACTGGCACCCCGAAAGGCATTCTGATGGAGCATGGCGCACTCGCGACCAGTGTGCTCCTTGGCCATGGCCGTACATTACGCTTCTCCCGCTACACCCGCATGCTGCACTTTGCCTCGTTGACCTTCGACGCTGCCTTGGCGGAGATGTTCACTACCTTGGCACATGGCGGGTGTATCTGCGTGCCTTGTGAGGATGACCGTCTTTCTGACGTGTCTGGTTGTATCTCCCGCTTTGCGGTCAACACGGCTATGCTGACCCCCTCGGTCGGGAGGCTGTTGGACCCCGGGGCTCTGCTAACCTTAAAGACCCTGATCATGGTGGGCGAACCAATGTCGCGGCTGGATGTGGAGCGGTTCGCTCCGGTGCTTGACCTGTACAACGGTGCAGGGCCTACAGAAACATCCATCATGGTTACAATCGCCGGGCCGATGGAACCTACTGATGAGCCAGTAAATCTGGGCTATGCTGTCGCTGGGGTCAGGTTGTGGGTGACTGAGGCTGAGAACCCTAATCGACTGGCTCCGTTGGGAGCAGTCGGCGAGTTGATCGTCGAAGGCCGCTTGGTCACTCGTGGATACCTGGATGGCCCAGCACGGACGCAGGAAGCCTTCCTTCCCAGTTTGCCATGGCTTCCATCACAACATGCCTTGTACCGAACAGGTGATTTGGTGCGGTATGCTGACGATGGTAGTCTACGGTATATGGGACGGAAGGACACGCAGGTGAAGTTGCGCGGACAACGCATTGAGTTGCAAGAGGTCGAGTATCATCTACGAAAGAGCTTGCAGCAAGCACAGATTGTGGTGGAGATGGTCGTTCCGGCGGGGAAGATGCGTGCTCAGGCTAGCCTGGTCGCTTTTGTCAGTGGGCTGACTGCGGAAGATGTTGAGTCGTCGTCTGCATGTAACTTGGAAGGAACGATACTTATCTCGCAAATTGTCTTACCCAAGAGTGCGTTTCAAGCGCTTGAGGAAGTCCTGCCACGCCACATGATACCGTCGGTGTATAATGCCCTGGACACTATTCCGCTGTCGGTCAACGGCAAGGCAGATCGGCGGCGACTGCGTGAGATGGGTTCCTTACTGCTAGCATCTAGTGCCGCCCATAAGAACACCATTGAAGGAAAGCAAGTCCGTCAAATGGACGCCAGCATCGGAGCTGGAACGGACACTGTTGGAGTTGTGGGCTGCGACACTCGGACTCGAGGCTGAGACAATCCACGGCGATGACAGCTTCTTTGAATTAGGCGGTGACTTTGTCTCTGCCATGAAGTTGGTAGCCACAGCTCGGGATAAATTCAAGCTGTCGTTGAGCGTTCCCCAGATGTTCAGATACCCGACTATTTGTCATTTAGCCGCCGAAGTTGGGGAGCCCGCTGGGCAGTCAGCAAGCTCAGCTTCATCCACAACGGAGGAAGGGTTTACATTCAGCACGCCAGACGACTCTTCCACTAATGATGGAGTCGACGACGACTTCTTAGAGCTGGTCACTGCCCAGCTGGCCCAGTTAGCCCAAGAGAAGGGCAAGAAGGTGGATATTGCTGCTCTTCTGAAGCAGCTGCAGGGCGGTTCCTCTTCCAATAAGACTCCGTCCGTGTCTTCCTCATCTTCATCATCTTCGTCATCCAAAAGGAAGAAGAATGCGGCCAAAGCGGAATCTCTGGCCGAAGCAGCTGCTCCTATCCCAGTGCAATTTTCCTTGCTAGATGGTGGCGCAGATGCTCTGGATAAGGTCCGTGCACAGGCTGTAGAGCATTGCAAGATCACACACGAGGATATTGAAGATATTTATCCCGCCACAGCTTTGCAAGAAGGGATGATGGCACTCACGGCCCGCACACCTGGAGTTTATACCACAAGTTTGACCGGCAATCTTTCCGAGCTGGTCGATCTCGCATGGCTGCAATACGCCTGGGGTAAAGCTGCTGAGGCGCATCCAATCCTCCGGACCCGGATTATCCTGACCGACAACAACACGGCAGTGCAGGTTGTGCAGCGTGCGAAAGGGCTTCCATGGGACACATATTCCTTGCGAGAGGACGACGTTCTCCCGGACCTAACGTCGAACATGACCTCTGGATCTCCCCTTCTGCGCCTGGCTCTGGTACACCGGCAAAACCAGCCCCGAATGCTCCTGGTGGCCATTCACCACGCCCTCTACGATGGATGGTCGATGCCACTCCTCAAGCAGGCAGTTGAGGATGCCTACCATGGTCGGGACTTGCGGTCACAGCCCTTCACCCCATTCATCAAACACCTCATTGCGGGGAAACCGGCCGCACAAGACTTCTGGACCACACACCTGGACAGCTTCGTAGGAGGCATCTTCCCTAAGTTGCCTAGCATCTACCACCAAATCCAGCCGACGAAACGCCGAACCCGGCCAATGACTCTGCCAACAGCGGCCCCCAAGGCCCAGTATACTATGGCGACAAAGATTCAAGCAGCTTGGGCTGTGACTGTGCCGCGATATGCAGAGGTTAATGACATTGTCTTTGGTACTGTTAGTACCGGACGCTCAGCGCCTGTGCCAGCCATTGATCGCATGGTTGGTCCCACCATTACCACTGTACCTGTTCGCATCTCGCTCGGTGACCAAGCGGATCGAGTCCTCTCACTGCTGCAGAGAGTCCAAGAGGATAGCTGGAACAAATTGGATCATGAACACCTGGGCCTACAGCATATCCGCCATCTCGGTGAATCTGCAGCTGCCGCTTGTAGCTTCCAGACGCTGCTTGTAATTCTGCCGCGTGAACAGCCTGACACCAAATACCGTTCTACTTTGCTTTCAGGATTGCAGGATGTGGCCGAACTAGAGGGCGTGGATACTTACCCGCTAATGTTGGTGTGTGAGCCTGACAGTGCCAGACTGCATTTGACTGCCGTGTTTGATCGAGCCGTTCTGGACGGAGCCACGTTGGACCGGATGCTCGCTCATTGGGAACTGGTACTAACCCAGATGTGGAATGAGCCTGATATGGCAGTGATTGAAATTGATGCTGTATCGTGCAGTGATAAAGAGACTTTGATGCGATGGAATACTGGAGAAACAATACCTGACGGGTGTGCCCATGACGCAGTGTGTGAGTGGAGTAGGCGCACCCCTCACGCACCCGCTGTCTGTGCTTGGGACGGGGATTGGACCTACGAGGAACTAGAGAGATGCTCCTCTCTCGTAGCCAGTCAAATCTTCGCACATGGTCTGTCCTCCGGAGACTTTGTTGCTCTCTACCACGAAAAGTCCCGGTGGACAGCGGCCGGAATTCTCGCGCTGTTCAAAGCCGGCGCCATTCTCATTACTCTTGACCCGGCCCATCCCACAGACAGAATCAAGGATATCCTGGATCAAGCACGACCGCGCCTCATCCTGACCTCCCAGTCCCTCCTCGATGTGGCTAGAAATCTGGAGACCCCGGTCCTGAGTGTACAGTTAGCAGCATCACAGCCATTGCCCGAAGGATGGTCCAGTCTACCCACAATAAGCCCCACCCTGGCTGCATATGCCCCGTTTACCTCTGGATCAACAGGTCGACCGAAGGGGATCCCGCTTGATCATCGTGGTCTGGCGGCTTCAACTGCATCAATAGCTCGTTCTTGCCTACTCCGCCCAGCATCTCGGGTACTTCATTTTGCTAGCTTCGCCTTTGACGCCAGCATGATGGAACAACTGATAGCATGGCACGCTGGTGGCTGTCTATGTATTCCTGATGAAACCGCAAGGCAGACGGACCTGGCCAAGTGTATCCGGGATTTTAACGTTACTTGGGCTTTTCTCGCACCTTCCTGTCTAAGATTAATCACCCCCGATGATGTTCCGTCCCTCCAAGCTTTGGGACTCGGTGGGGAGTCTATGACGTCCGAAGATATCACCATCTGGAGCCCGAGGCTCCGCCAGATCATCCAGCTGTACGGGCCAGCGGAGTGTTGCATTGTGGCTGCATTGACTGAAGTGACAAAACCATCTGAGAATCGGTTGATAGGGAGACCAAACGCCTGTCGATGCTGGGTAGTTGACCCGCAGAACCCAGATCGCCTAGCGCCCATAGGCGCTGTCGGGGAATTGCTAATTGAGGGGATTACTGTCGGTCGGGGTTATATTAATGATCCTGACCGAACCACTCCGGCATTCATACGGCCTCCTAAATGGCTTCAAACACTGTATCCTGATGACCAAGAGCCAAAGCGGCTCTATCGGACCGGTGACCTCGTGCGTTATGCTGGTGTGGACGGCAAGCTGGCCTTCATCGGGCGAAGAGACGGTCAGCTCAAGCTTCACGGACAACGTACTGAGTTGGCGGACGTCGAAGCCCACCTCCGTTCTCTAATACCCGGGATGCAAAAGATGGTTGTCGAGATGGTTCACAGTGCGGACAACCAGAGTCCCTTTTTGGCTGCTTTTCTAGAAGAAATATCAACGTCACAAAAGCCAAAAGAGCGTGAGATTGGACTATTGCATCTAAGTCAATCCCAATGTGCCCTAGATGTTAAGGCCATTGATAGCGCGTTGTCGCGAACGGTTCCACAATACATGATTCCTAGCATGTATCTACACATTTCCCGTCTGCCTCTAAGCGCATCTGGAAAGCTGGACCGTCGCCACCTCCGCGAGATGGTAGCAGAGCTTCCACACCAAAGAATTAACGAGTACGCTGCTGGATCAGGCCTCAGCGTTCCCGACCGGCCAGTAACATCCCAGGAGCGCGAGATGCAGGCTATCTGGGCACGAGTATTGTCACTTGACCCGAACACAATTGGAGTCAACGACGATTTTTTCCGCATCGGCGGCGACTCCATTTCCGGGATGCAGGTCTCCACGAAATGCAATGCGGCTGGCATCCATATCACCAGTGCGGATCTCTTCAGACACCGTACCATCGAGCAACTGATATGCCATATTAATACTATCAGAACCACTGACTGTGCGTCAGTCTCGCTACCTACAGAGCCGGTGGACGAGTGGGTTGCTCTCGCCCCTATCCAGCAACTCTTCTTCGAAGTTGCCCCAGAGGGGCCAAATCACTTTAACCAGAGCCTGCTCCTTCGCACTAGCCGCCGGGTTGGTGTAGAGGAACTCGCCGGAGGCCTGGATATTCTTATTGGAAGATATTCTATGCTACGCGCGAGATTCTGCCGCAAGGATTCCGGCCAGTGGTTCCAGCAGGTAAAGTCGCTGGATTCTGAGCCTGTTAGTGCCTTTTACCGGTTAGCTGCGCACAACCAGATCACTCGTGAGTCGCTGCCAACACTTTTTACAGCGGCTCAGATGGCATTGTCTATTGAGGATGGGCCGCTCTTGACTGTGGATCTGGTAGAGCTTAAGGACGGTAGTCAGCTCGTCTACCTGGCGGCCCATCATCTCATTATTGACCTTGTCTCGTGGCGCATTTTGCACGGAGATCTGGAGGAATACCTCCAGACAGGCTCTCTCAGTTCCGCTACAGGGTCGGTTCCTTTCTTGACCTGGACTCAATTACAGGCCGAATACAGCGCCGAACACCTCACTCCCGCGCGTGCTTTACCTGGCTTCCAGGAAGCAAACGATGATTTCGATGTCATGAGGTACTGGGGAATTTCTTCCGAGTCGAACACGTTCGGGCAAACCTCAACATCCAGATTTACCTTGGACCGCACTGTGACTGATATTCTCTTCGGAAGCGCTAACAAGGTGATGGATACTCGACCGGTTGAGATTTTGCAGGCCGCCCTCTGGTACTCTTGTAATCAAGCTCTCACTGACCATCCGGGTCCAAGGATTTATGTTGAAGGCCATGGGAGAGAGCCATGGACGGATTCCATCGACGTCTCGGGAACGGTTGGTTGGTTTACGATCATGTCTCCTTTGGTGTCCACTCCATGGCATCACCTATCACGGAAATCAATGCGGGACTTCGTCGATGTACTCAGCTATATCAAGGACCAACGCCGACGCATTCCGGCAAACGGATGGGCTTACTTCACTTCTCACTACCTGAACGACGAAGGTAGGGTTGCATATGGGCGGACGAAGCCGGTTATGGAAGTTCTGTTTAACTACATGGGCCAGTACCAGGAGATGAAGCGTGAGGACGCCATGCTACAGCTGGCTGGCGATGACGTCCAGTCCGGCACCGGTGCTTCAGACATTGCCGATAACGTGCCACGCTTTTCGTTGATTGACGTTACCGCGTTCACTGCGAACGGGTGCCTAACCTTCGAGTTTACATTCCCGCAATTGATACAGCAGGATGCTCGACTGGAACATTGTATTAAGGAGTGTGAGCGTACTCTCGTCGCCGCGGCTAGTTCACTGTCAGCGGAAGGACCCCGCAAGACGTTGACCGACTTTCCCCTTATGTCTGCGCTCACTTACGACCAACTGAGCCAGTGCCTCAATCATACGTAGCCTTCGATGGGCCTACGTGCCCAAGACGTCTGGAATATCTACCCTTGCTCTCCCGTGCAACGGGGCATGTTGTTGGCGCAGCTGCGCGATCGGCAGGCATATCAGCAACGATTCAAGTTTCAGGTTATGTCTCGCGGGCCAACAGACCAACTTTCATTGGAAAAGGTGAAAGATGCTTGGACGGAAGTGATTAATCGACATGACATCCTCCGTACTCTTCTTCTCCCAGTTTCAGATCACAGCCACTTTGACCAGGTAGTCATGGTCCCTGGTAGCCTTCAGCACCTGGTTCGAGGTGATGCGATGGACGCCAATCCCACGGAGGGCCTACCTCACACGATCAACATCACCAGCGACTCGACTGGCGCCATAATCTGCGAGTGGAATGTCAGTCATGCGTTAGTTGATGCCATGTCGATAGCTGTCATTCAACGGGAGGTCAATCAAGCGTTGGAAGGTTCGCTGGGACAACATCAAAATCTACCACAATACGTGGAATACATTGAATGGCTTACTCTGCAAGACAATACCGAGGCGCAGGCATATTGGCAAAAATATCTTGATGGGGTGGAACCATGTCTATTTCCGAAACTGACTTCTTCGCCAGACAAGGTCAATCCGGAAGCTACGATCGCTGCCATTCGTGCCACCTGGTCCCGCGATGCTCGGATGGACGAGCTATGCCATAAGCACGCTATCACATTGACAAATCTATTCCACATTGTCTGGGCCATCGTGCTCGGCGCTTATGTAGGCACTGATGAGGTTTGTTTCGGCTATACAGCTCTTGGCCGAGATGTGCCTGTCCACCGGGTTGAGACGATGGTCGGCCCTTTAGTCAATGTTCTTGCCACGACCGTCCGGCATGAAGAGAACGAGACAATCTTGAATGCACTCCTCACCCATCAAGCCCACCTCACTAATAGCCTCCAACATCAACATTATGCGTTGGCAGACGTGTATGCGGCTTTGGGACTGGTCGGATCTCAGCTGTTCAACGCTATCGTATCGTTGCAAGATACATCTCACTTCGACGCTCCAGACGAGCAAAGAACCCGGCTCGAGATGCTACCTGCAAATGATGTCTCAGAGGTTTGTCCCTAAACTTGGTCTACGAAGCCCCCTATATTGTCTGATGTTAACATCTAATACAGTACGATGTAGCCCTCAATATCGGTGTTGACAAATCCTCTATTCAGCTGGTCCGCAGCTACCAAACCGTATCTCTGTCCGCTGAGCAGGCCGACGCACTACTGCGAACGGCCTTTCATGTACTGGATGAAATCCTGAGAGACCCCACCCAACGATTTTGTGAGCTCGAGGTCATCAGCCCTAAGTGTAAAGAGCAACTTGTGAAATGGAACGCTGGCATGCTTGCCCCAACCGATGAATACATCCATGAGAAGATACAAGGCCAGTGCCGTATCCACAATTCCCGACAAGCCGTTTGTGCCTGGGACGGCATCTTTACCTACGCCGAAGTCGACGATTTGTCTTCACGCCTGGCAGCACGGCTCATTAGAATGGGGGTTACCTCCGAGGACATCATCCCAATCTACTCACCCAAATCCCGATGGACGGTCATCGCCATTCTAGGGGTTCTAAAAGCTGGGGCTGCCTTCACGCTTCTGGAAACATCACATCCAATGGCTCGACTGCATGTGATATGCAATCAGATCAAGGCCCCTATGATTATTGCACCAGCATCGCATGCCATTCCAGCGGCTAATTTGGCTCCTATCTTAGTCGTGCTCGACAAAATCATGTCCTTAGCCCAGGAAAGACCAGTCCCCTTACCGGCTGTCGGTATACCACCAGCGAGAGAAGCTCTCGCCTATCTCATCTTCACCTCAGGTTCCACAGGAAACCCCAAGGTGGTTATGGTCACCCATCAGAATTTGTGCAGTAATGCGTCGATCATCACAACGTCTGTCAATATGACTTCCGACAGTCGGGTGCTACAGTTTGCATCACATGCATTTGATGCGTGTATCTTGGGATTACTAGGTGCGCTGATCGCAGGTGCCTGTCTGATCATCCCGTCCGAGTCGGAGAACAAGGAAGACCTGGCTGGTTGTATGGAGCGCATGGACGTCACTTGGGCACTTCTGACCCCTTCCGTCGCAAGGATCTTGAAGCCGGAGACCCTTCCCAGACTCCTTAATTTAGTCCTGGGTGGCGAGCCGATAGCTGCTTCGGATTTAGACATGTGGCGGGGACACGTCCAGGTGGTGTGTGCCTATGGCCCAACCGAAACTACCATTGTCGCTAGTACGACATCACCCTCCACATTTCCCATGGATGGTAAGAATATTGGCGTGCCAAGCGGAAGCTCCCTTTGGGTCGTCTCCAGGCAGAACTATCAAAAGCTGGCGCCTCTTGGAGCCACAGGCGAGCTTTTGATTGAAGGACCCAATGTAAGCCTGGGTTATCTTGGTGATCCAGGGAAAGCCAACAAAGCCTTCCCAGATTCTCCAATCTGGCTGTCACAGCTCCGGAAATCGCCTACCAGGGTCTACCGAACCGGTGACTTGGTTCGCTTCGATACAACTACGGGCACCATTCGCTTCGTCGGACGCAAAGATAACCAGATCAAGTTCCATGGGCAGCGCATCGAGCTCGGCGAGATTGAACATCATGCTCAGTTGGCTTTTTCGAGTGCCAGCATGGTCATCGTCGATTTGATAACCCCTGAACAGCCTCAACAGCCATATATCGTTGCATTCGTACATCAATCAGATGCAGCGAATGAAACGACTGACACAAACGACACCCTCCTGCTTCCTCCCTCCGAAGCCTTCCGAGCAGACGCTCTGGCAGCGCAGAACAAGATGTACGAACGACTCCCGCACTACATGGTCCCAGCAGTGTTCCTCCCTTTGCATCGGCTTCCTCTATCGGTCACTGGTAAAGCCGATCGGAAACGTCTCCGACAATGTGCACTTGCTCTGTCCAGCCCTGAGCTTAGTGCATACCGCGCCACGGCCTCGAGGAAGCGTATGCCTTCCACAGCAGCGGAGCGCAAAATGCAGGGATTGGTTGCAACTGTTCTGGGAAGGGACCCTACTGAGATCGGCATGGATGACAGCTTTTTCTATCTGGGAGGTGACTCCGTGCAAGCAATGCGGCTGGTTGCCGAGGGTCGTCAGCAAGGGCTTACCCTCTCCCTTCGAGCGATCTTTGACTCTCCCTGTCTGGGTGACCTTTCTGACCAGGCGAAAAGTCTGATCGAAGATAACCAGCGAGCATCGACCGCGTCACGAGGCAACCTACGTTATGATTGCGACCAAATAGACAAAATAGTTGCAACTAAATCCCTCAACAAGACTGACGTAGTCGACGTCCTTCCCACAACCTCCTTCCAGCACCACTGGCTAGACGCACAACTGAAGAGCTACATTGTCGCCGACATATCAGGCCCGATCGACCCGGCCCGTCTCCTTAGAGCCATGCATCGTGTCGTGGAGGCTCACCCAATTCTCCGAGTATCCTTCGTGCCTTATGAAAACACCACCATGCAAGTGATCCTAAACAAGGCCGTGGCCATAAAAAGTGCCGACCCGTCCAACACCACCGTGGAAGAAATTTGCCGCCAGGATGCAGATACCCCAACAGTTCCAGGTATGCCGTACCTGCGCGTCATACTAGCGACCCAAGTCGAAGCCGATCATACATTAATCTTGCGCCTTTCTCACGCCCAATACGATGCCGTCTCACTTTCCCTCCTCATGAATGATCTGGGCCATGCATACGCAAACGAGACTCATCCCTTACCTTCATCCCACTTCCCTCGATTCAACGACTACACTACCTACCAGCAAGCTCAGAGAGCCGATCCCACAGCAATCACATTTTGGCGTCATCTCCTCCAAGATGTCTCGCTCACCTACCTTAACCTCCAGCCAGCCGAGTCCTCGGCCAGCAATGGGACTCCGATTACACTTTCCCGCGACATTGACATCGCTATTTTCCCCTCACTTCCCAGCGACATTACCATAGCCACAACGGTCAAAGCAGCCTGGTCCCTGGTCCTAGCCCAGAAGACCAATTCCCCTGCCGTGATATTCGGCCAAGTGGTTCACGGTCGGGCCATTGCCCTTCCTGGGGTCGAGGGAATTATCGGTCCCTGTGCCAATATCACGCCCGTTGTCGCACGCCTGGGTCTTCAGACTACGGGATTGGAATTAATGCAAACATTGCAAGACCAACACCGCTCTGCTATGCCGTACGAGACGGTGGATCTTGATGACGCGCTGGCGTATGCCAAGGACTCCCAGGCCGGGCGTAAAGGATTACAAACAATTGTGCAGCATCAGAATAACGTGATGGTTGATGATATGGAGTTGTCGCTCGGGGAGGTGAAGTGTGGGGTAGATGTCAGGGCAGTAGATCATCTGCCGAAAGAGGTATGGGTCTATTCGTCTGTTGATGAGAAGAGACCGGGTATGTTGGAGGTGAAGATCATGTCATCAACGTTGGTGCTGGGTGAGGAGGTTGCGGAGGAGTTGATGGGTTTGCTTGTAGAGAAGATAGTGGGGTTGTTGAGGCATCCTGAGAGTGTCTGTTTTTGATTGAGCTTTGTTGAGGAGTCGGAGTAGAATTTGGACGGTTGTATATAGCTTGTTGAATGAACATGAAGTGAAAATCACGTAAGCACTCCACTTTGACCGACATCATCAACAACCCCAAACCACTCACTCAATACGCGAATCTAAACCTAAACCCTCCTCACAACAAACTGCATCTTGAAAGTCGTCTCCCCATTATGCGCCACCTTCGTAATCCCCTTCCACTCCTCGCCCGTAACATCAACACTCCACTCCGTCTCCGCCTCCCTCCCGACCTGCTCCCACAACCTCCTCCACGAATCCAAGTTGTGTCTCCAAATCGTCGACTTCAACTCATTCGCCCACACCTCCCGAGAATTATAATCACCTACATGGCGACCAACCACCATAGAACCGGCCTTCGGCTTTAGCAGCTTAATGACCTGCTTAGCCAATTTGACCTGGGTATCCCAGTCAAAGAGGTGGAAGAATGAGGCCGCGTTGATCATGTCTACCTTCCCGCTAAGGCGGTTGAATAGTTCACTGCTGCTGTCGAAGATGTCGCCGGTGATTAATTGGCATGCTAGGGTGTCGCGGTCCGCGAAGAGTTCGTATCCTAGTTCGATGAACTGGGGGTGCAGGTCTGAGCCGTAGATTTGAGATTGGGGTGCTCCTTGGTGGACCTGCTTAGATCAGTAGGTGTCCTAGGAATTTGTGGGCTACGGGGGGAGTACAAGGTGTCTGATGTCCTGGCCCATGGCGCATCCCAGATCCAGGTAAACGTCCGAGGTATCATGCAAGCGGGAGATGATCTCGGAATACGCGGAGGAATTGCAGATGGTGATATCAAGGAACCGGAAGGATCCGATACATGGATAGGGAAACTTATCTGATCAGTAATGATAGTACCTAATATGTGGAGGTGTAGACTTACGACTGCGAAGGCGCGATCTCTCTGTTGTATAACGTTGTATTCAGTATACATTTGGCCAGGTCAGGGGTATACACTTACCACTTCTTTGACGTGGTCAATGATCCTCTCCTCCGGGATCTTGCTGTACTCGGCAAGAATGGTACGCGCAGGCTCCTTGACCTCAGCCAATTCGGGCTCATACCAGCTAAACTGGCGGTTGACGCCATCCTGGGAAGCACTTGCAGTACTCGTGGTTGGTTCACTCATGGTTATCTACTGCAAATAGACAGGGAAAGAAGTGAGATATACGGTCGGGGTTTCATTCGGGGTTTCGGCCAAGAAGATGAAGAAGAGGAAAAGACCGTGGCGGAAGCTAACCGCGTGGTGCGGGGCCGCTGCCGTCGGACGTCCGATGCCTTCGGAGTTAAATCAATGAAGTGTTACAGGCTAATGGCGGGAATAACATTGTGATGATAGATGTTCTATGAGTCCATGTATTGCCGTCCGCACACCTACCAAACCAGATCTGACATTATTCCACCGAAGGGTAAGCGACGAGAACAGCGCCGCACAGCTGACAGGGGAGAAACAAGCTTTCGCCAACCCTTCAGACCCTGGTGTGCAAGGCACCGACCCACTGCTGTCGAACGGCGTCCAGAATGTTCTTCCACATACAAATGGCATGACATAAAGAGATTTGCTTCAGATGTCTGCTCCACTACTTGCACCTAGAGACGGATCAGCCTCTTCTACTGCGACCGTGCGTTCTGCGCTACTTTAACCAGAAAAAGTTGCACCCTTAGCTCGACTTAGCCGAGATGGCTCAGATGGCGCGATGCCTACCACTCAGGCACTACAATCCTTCGTTCCTTCTTGATATCGCCAGTAATGCTCATACCATTTCTCGGCATTTTAAACTGACCACCGGCATATGTTATCTCCAGCCTTGTACTGAATCCTGAGAATGCGGGCATCCCCGCTTATCGGTGTAGCGGCCGGCGGAGCTTTCCGCTTAGCCGACCAGAGCTGAATACTGCCCTGAAATCGACTTACTTTTGTTCAGACAAACAATAGTATTAATGGCTATAACAAGACTTATACCATGTTCTTCCATTCACCACATCTATAGACATCTTTCAAAGCATACCACCGCATCAATCACCCACTTGTTTCCCCCGCGGAGCCCTCCGAAGGCCAGCAAGAATCGGGGTTATCAAAGGATCTGCATAAGCACCATCTGCACACCATTCCGAATTCAGCGAGGGCCTCGGGGCCGGCAATAATCCATCTGCACCATAAATGTCTCCGACCTCGCCTGGACGATCTTTTTTATTTTTCGCACACCACTCTCCTTGCAACAATGGTCCGCATATGGCCCAAATCCGCCCATGACCAGCCATCGGACCTGGAAAAAGCGTCTCCCTCGCGCGACCCCGAATACCAGGTGAAATGGGACCCGGATGATCCCCTGAATCCGCAGAATTGGCCAGTGCGATACAAATGGTGGGTGACAGTGCAACTGGGCATGCTCGCTCTGGCCGGCAGTTTGGGCTCCAGCATCACCACCTCTGCCGATGACACCATCGCCGAGTATATTGGCGTGAGCAGCGAAGTCGCTGTTCTCGATGTCTCCCTGTACATGTGAGGTGTCCCCGTAGCAATAATCCAACCAATCAATCAGCCACTAACCAATCCCAGTCTCGGCTTCGTCCTCGGCCCCATCATCTGGGCCCCCGTCTCCGAAGTCTGGGGTCGGCGTGTCAGCATGCTCCCCGCCATCTTCTGTCTGGCGATCTTCGACATTGGCACTGCGAACAGTCGCAATGCCCCAGCCATCTTCCTCACGCGCTTCTTCGCCGGATTCTTTGGCTCCGCGCCCATCAGCAACGTCACCGCCGCGTTGGGCGACATGTGGAGTAAAGAAACGCGCGGCACAGCAGTGAGCATCTACGCAATCGCCGTAAACGGCGGTCCAGACCTGGGCCCCATCATCGGCGCAGCCATCATGGCCAATTCGAATCTCAGCTGGCGCTGGACCGCATACATCCACGCCATCTGGGTCTTCGCGACCTTCCTCATGGCCTTTTTCTTCCTCCCGGAACTTTATCCGCTCGTCCTGCTGAAACGGAAAGCGCAAAACCTCCGTAAATCCACCAATGACAGCCGATACTGGCATCCCCACGAACACCTGCACCTGTCTGTCCAATCCATCGTCACGAAACAGCTTGCTCGGCCGCTGCGCATGCTCTGCACTGAACCTATCGTCACATGTATCGCTTTCTACGCGGCCTTCGTCTACGCCGTCATGTACCTCACCCTCGAAGTCTTCCCTATCGCATTCGAAGAACTCCGCGGCTGGTCTCCCGTCGTCGGTGCCCTTCCCTTCCTCGCCCTCCTAATCGGTGTTATCCTCTCCACCGGAGTCAACATCTACAACCAGTTCCGCTACAACCGCATCTCCGCGGCCGCAAACGGTGCACCCGTCCCAGAGGCCCGCTTACCCCCCATGATGTTCGGAGGTGTTGTCCTCGTCCTTGGATTATTCTGGTTCGCCTGGACGGCTACGCCCGCTTACCACTGGATCTTGCCATGTCTGGCAGCATTCTGCATCGGAGCAGGGTTTAATTGTATTTTCCAGCAATGTTTGAATTTCCTAATCGACGTGTATCGCGTATATGCGGCTAGTTCAACTGCCGCCGTTACCTTCTTGAGAAGTATCATGGCGGCGGGGTTGCCGTTAGCGGCGAAGCCGATGATCAGGGCCCTTGGGATTGGACCCGCGATATCGATTATCGGCGCTGTGGCGGCGGTGTTGTTGCCAGTGCCGTTTTTGTTTGTCAGATATGGGCCGGCGTTGAGGAGGGCGTCGAAGATGATTGATGGGCAGTGATTCAGCGTCTTTAGGGTGTTGGTTACGGGTTGATCATATCATATTTGCATCAGCGAAGCGTATAGAATATATTGAAATATAAATAAAATGCATTGCAGATAGTAGTGGAAGATTATATCCTTGCCTCCACCACCCCCATCTCCATCCCCTCATTCTCACTCCCCACCCAACACCTCATCAGTCTCAACCCCGCCCTGACAAGTAACTCCGCATATTGCCTCTCCGTTCTCTCCGCGCCAGCGAAACTCACCATCATACTTAGATCCCCAATAGCAGCCATCAACCCGCCACCTGTCTCCGGAATGACCTTCTCCACAATCAACAACACCGACTCCTCGTTCATGGCCTCCCGTACTCTACTCAGAATCTTAACTACCTCGTTATCAGGCCAATCGTGCAACACAGTACGAAGCATATACCCCCTCGCTCCCTTCACCGGCTGTTCGGTGAAGAAATCATACCCTTGGCTCTCTATCACACCGTCAGGTAACTTCGCATCAGCGACAACATGCGGCAGATCCTGAAGAACAAGTCTTCCAGGGAGATCAGGGAACGCGGAGTGAAACGCGAGGAGGTCTTGGCCTTGGCCACCGCCGATATCTACCAAGAGTACTGAATTGGGATCCGGGGATTCCATCTGGAGTTTCTCGGTCACGGGGAAGAAATTGAACCATGGTTGTCCGGCTCGACGGATGGGAGATTTCATGACTGTGTTGAAGGAGGACTGGTAGTAGGGTTTTGTGGCCAGGTAGTCGAAGTAGTGGCAGGATGTGCCGGCGGCGAATTGGAAGGGCGTGTTGGTAAGGGAGTTGGGATTGGTCCAGTTGTTTTTGGCGAAGTAGTCCGGGAGGTGGGTGAGGAAGGAGTGGAAGTGCGTGCTGTGGAAGGGTTAGTCGGTTAGAAGATGCTTGGGGAGGGAGGGGAGTACAAGTGAATTATGGCTGCTGCGAGTGGGGAGGTTGATATGTAGGTTGAGGAGAGAGGAGTTGGTGTGAAGGTGTCGGATGTGTGTTGTTCGAGGGTCCCTATGGCGGAGAGGAAGCGCATGATTCGGGCTGGATGTGTTGTTAGGAGGCGGATGTGGTTGACGGGAGTATGTGATCATACCGACGAGAACTGGGTCTGCTTTCGTGTCACTGGCTATCTGGGCTACAGTGACTTTGCCGGTCTCATTCTGAGATGAGTGGTGGATGACTGCGTCGAAGAGCTTAAGGTCGATGGCTAGACGGAGAACCATGGTTTGGTGTTCCTGTTCTCTTATTAGTATCCACAGTTGTAGAGAAATTCAGGAAAGCATACCGTAAACAAAAGCTTGAACGTCTTCTCAAGCGGCGATTCGCATATCGCCTTCAGTCTATCGCATGCAGACGACAGCTCCGCACGCTGCTGCTCATCTATACTGTTCAGCTCGCCACTGGCGGTGACAGCGTTGATTGACTTGATAAGATCGGGGACGCTCATTTTTCAGACCATCTGAGAATACAAGAATAAGCGAAAAATAGCTAATAAGCTCCGATGTCTCTCTGGTCTCATGATGCGCGTCATCACAGTCTTATATACGAGGAAGCTCGGTAGATCGGTAGACCGTCCCCGAGCTAATTTGCCGATCCCGTCCCCGCGCCCGATCTTTATCTCCGTGGGTGCACCGAGGCCGAAGTGTTCTCAAACTCGATTGTAGCAGCTTAACTGCTTCTGTTGAACATGTGGTGAAAAGTCTGGCATACCTAGTACCAAATTATTTGTGTAGACCTGATTGCGCAGCAGAGATTTGACGTGGCGTCTTTGCTATCTACTTCATGCCTTAGGCAGCTGACATCGGGTTACGGTCGGGGTCTTGGATACATCGCGTTTTCCCAATTTATTCATTCTATACCACCAATCTAGTCTATTTATCTTCTAACATTCTGCCCAACCTAATACCTCCATACCACTCATGCTCATCCTCATCGTATGTATAATACCAAAGTAATATGTATGTTCACGAGAAGAGTTAGAACTCATATTCAAGGCATACCACCCTTGCTTGAACAGCAATAGATGAAGTCCTCGAAGGCAGGTCGAATCCACTCATGCCGAAATAGCTGTGGCCCACTTACTCCTCTTCCGCAGAGAAGGGCCCCAGAAGGTCAGTACGTAGGGAATGGGCGCAGCCACCGCACTGATGATTCCAAGAACAGTGAGCGTCCAATGAGTGCCAAGATTCGAATACATCGGGATTCCGACCACCGTCATTCCGCCCGCAGCCAGGTACCGAACCAGTGCCACGAAGGTCAGTGCAGACGCCGCGTACTGCTGATAGGAGTCGATAATATACATGTAGGCTGAGAGGAAGATACAGATGACACCGAAACCGACGGCGATCGAGGCGGCTAAGGGAGACCAAATAGCGATGGAAGGCTAGGGTTGTTAGTATCCTGTGTCTATAATGTTTGTTGATGTGAAGGGTCGCTATATGAGACATACATAGTCAGTCCATCCCATCCAGAAAAGACCGATCGGAATGGCTGGGGCTCCGATTCGCGCGAAGAAGAGACGCGACTCTCTGTCTATCATGCGACCGGAGCCGTCATCACCAGCGTCTCGCAACTGTTTGGCTGTTTTGCGATAAAGGATAGGGACGAGGACCATGCTGGTGAGGATCCCAATGAAAAGTCCCAGAAAGCAAATGTTGGCCAGGCCTTCGTTGATTCCGTATGTATCGGCGAAGATGTAGACATATCTAGGCGGGTTAGTGGGATCCCATCCATCATAATGCAAACTAGTGGAAAGGTGCATACCCGTCCAGGAACGTGAACAGGACAATGTAGACAACTGTCAAGTAAAACGTGAAGAAAATCACGATCGGCTCCATGAGAAGGAGCCAAGGACGAGTGAAGTTCCTCTTCAACACGGGCAGCAGGCTTCCCGATCCCGAGGCCTCGCCGGCTGTCTTGAACCGCGCATCTCCGGTCGCTTCGCGGAAGAACTTGGCTTTGTAGTACAGGAGTTGAGGTGCAAAGGTCTCGCGCTTGAAGAGAAAGATGATGGCTATCACCAGACCGTCAAAAATGAGCATGATCCATTCAGCCCACCTCCAACTGATGTGGGGACTGTAACCGATGTATGCTCCGACAACGGGTCCTAATTGATTCGATGGTGTTAGTTTCACTGGACACCTACTACGTCCAGTGGTCTGCAGTGGATGTTGCGCGATACACTACATCATACTCACCAAGGATAGGCCCGCCAAACCCGGGGATTGCAAAGATGGGGAACCCGAAGGTTTTCTCCAGCGTACTCCACACGTCGGAAATCGAACCACCCGCAACAGTCAGAGGCGCAGAACCACAGAGTCCCGCGAGGAAGCGGAAGACCAACTGTGACCCGAAATTCGGAGCTAACGCAGCACCGAGAATCCAGGATCCGAAGATAATCAAAGCGCCAATGTAGACGGGGAATCGGCCAACGATTTCAGACATGGGACTGGCAATAAGCGCACCGACTCCGAAGCCAATGAGGTACAGGCCAGTTGCGAGTGATTCGGCAACTTGGGAAACTCCAAAGTGCCGGGAAGCTTCGGTCAGAACGGCGGAATCGATGGATGATGCCATGGTGGTGACCAAGGCGATCAGGCAGACACACATTGTGGAGGCGACTCGGCGGGCATGCGACCATTGCTGCGGGTTGAAGGGATCGTGGGTTGCCCAAGACACCTCATAGTACTTTTCACCGTTACAATCCGATTTCAAGGAAATTCCAGGGATTTGAGAGGGATCTCTGATCTTACTCGGTGGGTGTCCAAGAGGCTGCGGCGATGCGTGATCAGAGGAAGATGACTCGTGCTGGGCACGACTGGCGTCATCGACCAGCTCGTTCACGTATCGTCGCAAACCCCGATATTGGTATATGAACGCCATGTTCTTTGGTGGTGACAACGGTTGGGAGTCGTGTATAAACACGGAGTCCAGTCGAATATAAGGAGGAAAAAATTCCAGAATAGACGCGCTCGTTGAAGTGGAGTGGATTTATAATCCAGAACAGGCTAGATAGGGACTACGGTCAAGTTGGCAGTGGCCACTGAGAAGAAGCCATTCCCACTTTTCCCGGCCGAAAGCAGAAGATCTGCATGGTGGGTCATTCCGCCCTTTTTGGGCATCGACGAACTGCTCGGGGTAACTTACTCCGCTGTCTTTCCTAATCAGGAAGAGTAGTCCGGCAGCACCCAATCAGCGCAGTCACTGCTCTGACTGCAGTTCGGAGACTTATCGGGCTTACTGATACCTATATAAATCATTTCTTATAATTATCGTACATTTTTATTCAGTCTCCTTGAACTGTGTCGGTACATGCAAGGGCAGGTGCAACCTTCGATCTCTTCAGATAATTAGAATGGGCAGATAACTCATTTAGAGCCCTGAGTGAGGACCTGCTGGTAGAATGCCTTCAACGACCTGCCCTTTGGAAAGTCTGGGAACAGCTTCCAGAATTCTGATACCCGAGATAGTCCGCATACTCTGGGGTATTGTCCCCTCGAATACACCATGATATGTGGTATTAGCCCATATTGTAATTGGCAACGTCCATGATATCGACTTTCTGCCCATTCTCCTGCCACCTCTTCCCACACCGTTTGATTATGTCTCTGATCTCTGATTCCGACAACTGTTTGTTCAAGTTGACGCGTCGCTCAAAGGAGCAATCTGATCAGGCGATCCGAGATCAGGCTCATTTGCTTACAAACTCTTTTAGGGGAGTCTCCCCGCTGACCGTTGCCATTGTGTCCCAAATTTCGTTCATACTCAGAACTTCGGTATACGCAAATACACGTCTATTCGAAGTCCGCTCATCCGATATAATCTGCGCGACATATTTGCCAATATCTCCCATATCCGTCAACCCAAACTTCTGATTACCATGACCAACGATCCGGTGGTCGATATAAATCGAATGGGCGTGGTCCGACTGACCAGACGGAATCTTGGGGACCCAGACCTGAAACCAACATCCAACGTCGATGAGAGTGTACGGTAGACCCACCCGTTGAATTACGCCCAGAATGTCGAGCTTCTTGTCTTTGATGTCAATAATCCCTCTGGGTGCCGGTCCCACCCATTCCGAAGGCACGAATCGCTTCACACCTGCTTCTTTGGCGGCGTCAATCCATGGAACCTGAGAATCCAAATGTTCCCAGGTAATACATGAGATGAGGACTTCGATACTTTTTAACTGCTCTACCAGAACCTGCCGAGGACCGTCCAAGTCGTAGCCAACAATTTGGACACCTTTTGCTTTGAGGGTGTTGTTGGCTTGGCTGTCGACTGAAGCTTGTCGAGTGAATGATGTGACAGCCAGTCAGACTCATTAGTTGAAATCATCTAACGTTGAGTTTGCGAAATAGATGTCATACAAACTTTATCGGTGAGGAAAGTAAACCGCCTACCACAGACCGGCCTGTGTTACCTGTCGCACCAATCACGCCCACGGTAATTGGAGTCTCCATTCGTATCGTTGAAATTCAACTCTGTGTAAATGGTTGCAATTGGTGAATCCGTTTCTTCTAAGAGAGATATTTATATTATAGACGCCACACGTGATCGTCGGACGAAAAAGAACTCTATCATGTACTAGACAGAGGAAGCATGATCACTTCGGACCAAGACTGTGACTGTTAGCAGCGGCTTCGTCCGAAACAGGGTTGTGGGTCGGGATTCGTCCGAGCTAAGATGCCAGACTGACTGTTCAAACATGTCATCCCTCCTGAACCATATACACAGCGACAGATATTAGCTCCTTGCTAATGTTAGTACTACAATAGGAGCCACTGATGACCGGGGGTGTTTCTACAGTGGATTATGGCTATTTAGAAGTGAGTGTACGTAAGTCCGTACGGTTCTGGAAAAAGGATCTTCAACAAGCGCATCCTATAACACAATAACAGAAATGCCCTGATTGCGGAGATGCAATATCGCCTACTGGCCTGGACCGCTAATACTTCAAGCTTTAATCGGGTCACGTTATATAATGGCATCTTGAACATTGTTCACGGAAGTGTTTGCAACTGTTGGTTCAATGTATACTGCTGGATTTCCTGGAAACTGAGCGCCTTCAAGAACGCAGCAGGACTGGCAAAAAAGAAGAATTAATAAATAGATAGGAAACATGCAAGCCTTTATTTCGACAACCTCCCGACTGTTTGTCCCGTTATACTGAAGCAGCCTTTAGGGAAGCTTTGGATGCACCGTAAGAAACTTCACAATATCATTAGCACGTGACGAATATATATAGCGGGTGGCTTCATTCATAAGTACGAGTCCAGTACCAGCGAGGTTCAGACTATTGTTTCGAAGATGTATAGCCGGCAGTAATTCAGACATATCCCGCATGTATCAACTTTGTATGTGGCCCCATTGGACCACGGAAATCTGGAGTACTACGCTGGGTACAGTGTCACATTAAGGAAGAGTCAACCTGACGGCTGATTAGTACAGGAGGCTCTTCTCTACCACCACTGTGGCAGAAAACCCGGCCCTGACCGCTTCACCTACCGCCTAAAGCGGCAGAACCTGCGGCAGAACCTAGTCGACCTCGTTGAGAAAAGTGCGGATATAAGCGGCTATTGAAGGATATGCATTTTGTACAACTCCGAGAAAGTGACCCGGAAAGATGTAAACTTTCTCACCGCCTTTCAGACTGGCTGAAGATGGGCAGAATCTGCTCTCTAGATCCATATAGTATCTCTAGAAGGGATAAGCGTAGTAGCCGATTTCTATTTACATTAACTACATCTTAATCTGTCCCTGTTGCGGGCTTGACATTCAATCACTTTGTCCGGGCTATGGTGCTGCTCGGTCGAGATCCCTTCTGCAACATCCATCAACTCACCAGCCCAGTTTCTTGGCCTCCTCTGCGCTCACATCGTCAGGAATATCCGTCACATATTGTAGAACTTCTGAAGTCGCTGAGATCCACTCAGGTCGACGCTTGGTCCACACCTCTGCCACCGGCTTGGGAATATCATCAAAGAGACCGAACATGAGGACTGCTTGTGTTAGTTTTACCACCGGAACTATCACAGGGAAAAGGAAAGATAGAGGGAGGACTGACGTGACTTTCCAGGCAAAACAGTCTCACTTCTGTACATGATCGGACTGCAAAGATTCTAGTCAGATAGAAGACAGAGTATCCTATTGCATGTACTGACCATCCACAGTTATAACAGAAATATCGATCCAATGGCCGGCCACAGGTGGTGTTGGTGTCGAGGAATTTCTTGGGACTACCGGTCAAGACCATGTCTTTGTTCTCCACCACGACGACATAGGTGCCGGCTGGATGACGTTCAAATTAGACAATATTCAGGTCTGGAAGTAAGTGAGAAGAGGAAACGATTCGATGAATACCGGCACCACTCTGCTTTCGACAATTCAGGCAGTAGCAAATCATCACGCCACCCCCAGATGGTGTGGGATTGTCCATGGTGACGCGGATACGGCCGCAGTTACAAGAGCCCTTGACGACCATGATGTGCCACTTTTGATGAATTCGTGGGTAACGGGAATAGAAGGAAATAAGGTACAGGTTGGCGATTATTGGTTTCTGAGATGAGATATCTGACTCTAAGACGACTGGTGCCCGGTTTTATGGCCTTCTGGGCGTACGGCGGTCGCCTGGGTTTGGCGATTGCAATAAGTAAATGTCAACAGGAAGGCCCTGTTTGTCCAAGAAGAGATAAAGAATACCCTCCTTGGCAATCTAGGGATTATGTTCCAATCATTTTATAGACACTTAGTCTACCTGAAGACGCTCAATAAAGATTCAGCCAGGAAAGGTTAATTTATCCAGAGTCTAAATATTGAACCAATAGCTAGGTCTAATACTACCTTTTAGAATTTATCCCTGTATGACGAATTGTATACAAGTAGGTATTTGATTCCAAGTCCGTAATATTAAGTAATGAAGAAGAGGTGTAAAGAGCATATGTACAGCATAGGTTAGGCCGTAAGGATATGCCTGTATAGACAGTGCTGAGTTTGATCAGGAATCGTCTATTTATTTAGGTTTCTGCAGATTCAAGGAATTCCATTACAGGACAAGGTACATTATCTGCAGAGCTGCTCCACTCAATAAGCAGTTGCATTAAGTCAAGAAGAATGTGCCATTTTGTTGATGGCAAGGAGCGGTCAGACATGCAAGCAAGGGCGGAGAGGTGCATATGCTGGCTCAATCCTCCTGACTATGTTGCGCAAGTCCAGACCTTCATGCAACTGCTGCTCCGCCTTGGTCTATACCCAGGCAAGGGGGGATCATTCCGGTAAGGTGATGCAGGGTCACACTATGTCACAAAAAACCTGTGCGGGAATAATCCCCGTACAGATAGCTATATGCCTTGAATGTAATAATATAGTTGTGTAATAAGTACTGGTATTGATGGAATAAATCGTCGAAACTCCGGATTCTAGATATAAACTTCAAATTACACATATACCATGCGCGAAGTCGTAAGAAGCGACCCTGAGCATCAAAGCCGCTCAGCTTGGGAACGACTGGCCGAGGCAGTGGAAAGACACCCTGACTATTTGGCACTAATCTGCGCGCACCAACGAGCTGGTCTCTATGGGCTTGGAGACAAGAAAGAATATGGTCAATGGAGTTATGGGGAGTTGTATGAAGGGATCATCCGCCTTTCTGCCTCGTTGGAGTTGCTGGGTCTATCGAGTGATTGTCTGCTTTTTGTGATCCTCGGTAACAGTTTGGAGCATGTCCTCACTACCTGGGCTGGATACAGACTCAGCTGCATCCATGTCTCCGTTCATCCCAATACGTTGTCCAACTCGGTGGAAGCCCGCCATGTCGTCCAAACCGTTCTCGATAACCGCCCCAGCCCAAAGGCCGCCGTCTTTGTTCAAGATAGAGCCGCGGCCGAACATTTTGATCAGCTATTTCCCCAGCTAGATGTGATCAAGATTGTCATCGGACATGGCCAGCCGGTTTCTTCTCCATGGACAAGTTTCGACCAGCTCATGCAATCTAGAAAAACTTCATCGGGCCCATCAACATTACCCCCGTCACGCGAAACATCCATCTTTTTCTCTAGCGGAACGACATCGCTGCCCAAACCATGCAAGATGGATGTTCCTGCCTGGATCAGCTCTCTAGCGAGTGGGTCAACTTTCGGCTTAGTACGCCCAGGAGACCGACTGATGTCTCTCGTTCCATGTAGCCATGTGCTTGGCTATATGGGGCAGATGTTTGCCCTGACACATGGGGCTACACTCGTCTACCCATCTTATTTGGCCTTTGATCCACGTACGACGATCGATACACTTCGCAATGTCCCCTGCAAATACATAGTCATGGTATCAGCGCTGGTGCATGCCTTCATCAGTGCGGACCTCAGCTCGACCCCACTTCCTCCGATTGACACAGTCATATTCTCCGGAATGACACTGTCCACTGCTGTAGCTAAGGAATTTCAGTCCAGAGTGGGCACGCGAGCGATCGAGAATCTATACGGTATGACGGAGGGGGCGTTTTGCGCGACCGGCCCAGTGGAAGACCTCGACAGTATCTCGCGCGACGGCTTCCTGGCCGCCGGGCGTCCTATGACAGGCTCGACACTGCGTCTTTGTGCTCCGAACAGCACGGAGCCTCTGCCACCTGGTGTGGCGGGAGAGGTGCACTACAGTGGCTACCAAACTGCTCGAGGTTATATCGGCGTGCAGAGCGATTCATTCTACATTGATGCGATTGGATGTTACTGGTGCAAGACTGGCGACCAGGCTATAATGTACGAACCGAACGGTCTCGTCTACCCTGTTGGTCGGTACAAAGACCTCATCATCCGGGGTGGCAAGAACATATCGCCCTCTGCCATCGAGGCGGTACTCAACCAAGACCCGGAATTGCACCAGCTCAATCCTCAGGCCGTGCCTCTGCCAGACGCTGTGGCAGGGGAGGTTCCGGTAATTGTCGTAAATCGCGAGATTGAAAAGCCGCAGGTGCAACACATCATGCATCTGATTCTAACAGAGATGGGTGCGGCGTATGTTCCTGATAAAGTCATCCCCATCCAAGCGCTCGGGGCTGCGAACTATCCTCGCACGACTTCAGGCAAAGTGCAAAAGGTGAAACTCGCGGCCTTGGTGCGTGAGTATGCTGCCGCCCGGTCCGATGCCCCTGTGCCATCGGCAGCTAGCAACCCCGGAGAGTTACGCAAGCGTGTGGTGCAGCTCTGGGCAGATGTCTTGGCGGCCACGACCGAAGAACTTGATGTGCAGGCCGCGCTTTCGGAACGTGTTGATAGTATCACCTTGATGCGCGTGCATTCCAGAGCGAGCAAGCTCACCGGCAGACATGTCCCCTTCGCGGCTTGGGCAAGCGCCAAAACCATTGCGGACCAAATCCTTCTTCTGGAGACTGCTAATGGCCAACCGGAAGACGCCTATCCTACTGCTCACAATGACGTGCACGCTCGGGTTGGGGGACCTGCATTGGAGGATATGGTGCACCTGATGGGCGACGCCGGCAGACTCCCGGCTACGCAGGCTTTGGTCCAACAAGCCATTGCACGCTATCGGCTCACCTGGGATGATGTTGAAGATGTCTTCCCGGCCACTGATTTCCAACACATCATGCGCCAGGCTCACTTAATTGACTACTGGGAATTCTTCGTCTGCATACACACACGGGGCCATTCTGTTGCAGAGCTGCGCAAGGCCCTGGAGGTTACGTTACCACTTCATCCCATGCTGCGATCCTTTGTTGTGCAAGGTGAGACATCCCAGACTCTGCTGGTGACCGTCCGCCCGTCACAATCAATTCTGGAGCGCAGCATTGTCGACTACGGCGAGGTTGCGACATTGGCCGATGTGCACGACTTAGTGGTCAATTTTCCACAAGAGCATCGGATCTCCTTACCAGGACCTTTGTTCTGCGGATTGATGGTGTACGTAAAGGAGATAAAGAGTGCCGTCCTCGTTGAAGATTGTAAGTGCTTTCCCCGCTTGCCAAATTCCTCCGTGGTATGTGTGCTTATTTGTGTCTATTTGCAGTCTGCCATTCTGTCATGGATGCGACATACCATGAAATCTTTGAGGATGACCTAGAGCTCGCGCTGAGCGGGCAGCCACTTCGTGCGCATGCTTCATACAAAGCCTGGAATGAGAGCTATTACCTGCTGCAGGATGCTCTAGCTAGCCGACCGGCTTTTGAGTACCATCTCTCGCAGATGCACCAAGTGCCGGATGGACCAGTAGCGCTATGGCCCACACCTAGCCGCCCACTGAGGACTTTATCCGGACAAAAATCGGAAGGGTTGTACCTGCTGGGGTTTCAGCTACCGACGTTGATGTCTCTGCACCAGCACCATCCGACTCTGATGACATCAGTGGTCCTCAAGACAGCCCTCGCCCTGTTAGCCATCTTCCACACCAAGCACTCGGAGATGCTACTCCTCAATGTTGAAGCAGCACGGGGGCGATTCCCCTTTCTGCCGTCCTCCTTTCCGCGTGAAGGCCCGCTCGACGGGGCTCGCGTTGCCGGGCCTACACTGACAGGCAACGTAGAGCGGATCACCTATGATCCAAACGAGACAGTACTGCAATTGCTTTATCGCGCCCAAGCCCAACAAGCTCTGATAACGCGTTACGCGAACGCACCGTGGAGGCGCATTCTTGAGGAATTGCCTCGTATGAAAGACCTGTACCCTGCAGTAGCTGATCACTTGATCTTCAACTGGACCGGGACAACGACCTTCAAGGCAGACGACAAGAGACGCCTGCACGAGCATATTCAGCGGCAGGAGATCTTCTTTCAGCCTACTTGTGGCTTGATGGTCGATGCTGGTGCGTCCGGCAAGGACGGTACTGATCTCTGTGTCTCCCTCACTGGCGCGGTGGCGAATAACTCGCTTGACTGGATTCGTGACATTGCCCAGGGACTGCAGAAGATTACGACGTGGCTGACGCAGGAGGAAAATTGGGGGCGTCCGGTTAGATTCTTTTCTGAGTGTCTCTAGAAATAGGGGTAGCGGTGTCTGGAACGATGCAAGACAGAGTTTACGGGGATGGGTTAGGCGAGGAAAGGTCCATAGCGGCTTTACAATCTTCCAATTCGAAATCGTACATCCTCCTGCATTCAATGCTTCCCACTGCGCGACTAGTGTACCTCAGCCACCACAGCCACTAATGCATGAATAGTTCTACTCAAGGTTTAAGAGTACATTTCTATCAGTCCTGCGTCTGCAAAGAGTCCTAAACTTATTACTTTGCCTGGAAGTGGTGCAGAAGAGCTTTCGTCTGGAACTTCCCCCCCTCACGGTGTACTTGCAAAGATTTGTGATCTCATGAACCCTAATCTTCTACCCAGCAAGATACAGGAAGAATTTGTCTCTGCTGTGTTCCCTAACTGCCAGAAAAAGTTAAATACATGGCTATCACCGGCATAATTGTTGACTTCTGTAAATCCATTCCATCAAACCCACCATGACCGTCCCCAGCGATAACCCCACCGATAACCAGTCGGCCCATCCGCGCCAAAGTACCTGCTACAACAGCAAGTATCTGGCCGAATACTACGACTTGTGGATCGGGAATTGGGACGATGTCCAGCTGTATTCCCGTCTGCTCGCGGACATGGTATCTCGTAACACTTCCGCGAACCCAGTTAGGGTACTGGACGTGGGCACAGGCTCAGGGCGGATCATCCACGGCCTGGCGAGCGCCCAGCACCAGAAACAGGGCACCAAACGCCAGCCGGCAGTGCACTTCCTGGGCCTGGACAACGAACAGCACATGCTAGATCGAGCTCACCTCCTCACCGACCCAGCGCACGTCGATCAAATGACCTGGGTGCTAGGTTCGGCAGAGGAAATGGGATCCTTGCCTGCCTTGCAGCATTCCGACGGGTCAGGTGGGCTCATCGACATGATAGTGTTTGCCTGCGGCAGTATCTGCCATCTATACGAAGCCGACCAAGGCAGCCGGTTCTTCGAGCAGATAGCCAAGGTTCTCAAGCCCGCCACTGGGCGCGCGTACATCTCCGTGCTGAAAGCGCTTACCGACGGCGGCGAGCCGCTCGCCCGCGCTATGGAACCATCTGAGCCAGTTGTCACGCCGAGCAAGGAATTCCCTGGCATTTTCTACCGGGAGACCTGGCCCGCACATGAACTCATCGGAAAGGTGTGGCATACTACTCGGCATATTGTTGTCTCGGAGAGGTTGGCGGACGGACAGGAGGTCGTCGTCGAAGACAACCTGGATAGTCGCAAGGTTGGAGTGTGGACTGAGGCCGATGTGAGGGCTCGTGCTGCTGCGGCTGGCTTGAAAGTGGTGGATATTTTGGACCATCAGAATGACTCTACCCATGGAGAGCGCATCTTCGTTCTAGGAACCCTTGCATGATATTTACAGGGTTTGAAATGAGACATTTCCTGTACCTGGCGAGAGGAAGAACCTATGACCTTGGACAAAGTCAGGTAAAAGGAGATGTTGGGTAGCATATATTCTAGCCACAATGTCAACCCTTTACATTACTGAACGCGAATGGTTAGGACCTAGTTGTAAAGAGCTTTTCTTCAGTCAGTAGTAAATAATCTCCACTATAAGCTGAAGAGATCTTCCTCGATGATACTCGTTGCCTAGATCAAGTATTGAGTAGATGACCTCCATCCACAGGCTCTTCTGAAGACATCTTTGGGTGTATCTCAATAGGATACCACGACACAGTAAAGGAGCGATCTATGACTTTTGGCTAGTTTCATACAAATAGACAAATACTCGTGGTAGCCTGGCTCAATCATATCGCGTCCCTAAATGAAGACAGTGTAATTGAAGGAAAAATATACTTAAAGCCAATGTTTATTGTGCGAGTACTGCGTTTCTCATTCATCAGAGAGTTCCATTCTATAGAGCCATCCTATTATATATATGTCCCCAAATCTAAGCCTTCGCAGCGACAAAAGAGCTCCCCGCGGTTATCTTCTCAGCTAAGATCCTTACAGGCTGGGAGCTGAGGAGCTCGAAGGAAGACAACGCAGCCCCTAATTCACGACTGACCCAAGTCTGCATTTCCGTCGCTTTGAGCGAATCCACTATAATAGTTGGCCGTTAGCATACAGATACAATATCATCTTAAGAAAGAAGCAGAAAACCAACCTCCCAAAGCAGACAAAGGCAGGTCGAGATCGACAGAATCAGGAGCAGCGCCCATTGCCCGAGCCAGATAGGTTTGCAAAGCCTGGCTAACGAGCGAGATCGATTCGTCTATTGAGTCAGCTCGTTTGAGTAGAACGCTCGTCTTGATGGGGCCTGTGGCAGCTTGGGCTTCAGGATCGGTGATCCGAGCACGATGATCGAACTTGCGGTCAAATTGCCAGGGACTGGCGCCGTCTTCACGCGGCAGAACATCAACCAACCCGGCAATTATCTGAGCAGGCGGTGCAGGTTGCATCTGGCCTTGGACGAGGAGACGAATAAGGGTCTGCACCTCTGCCTGTGAGATCTCGGTCCCCAAGACGTGCCGATACCGCTGACGACGCTGCTCAGCAGACTCAGCCACATCTGTCACGCCGCTGGCGTCTTCAACGAGCCCCAGGTTGATACTACAACCGGCGAGGTTATGTTGGTGCCGCCACTCCATTAGGGCATCCATGAAAGCATTCCCCGCGGCATAGTTGGCCTGGCCCATGTTGCCGATGACACTGCTGATTGAGGAGAGAGTGACGAAGAAGTCTAGCGGCCGTGTGGCTTGGAACGCCTGGTGCAGATTCCACGTTCCTTGGATCTTAGCCCGTGTTGACTGTTGCCAGGATTCCCAGTCCATCTGGTCGAACATCGCATCTTTGAGAACGGTGGCGCACTGGATGATGCCACGGATGCGCCAGTTGTGGTAGGCTGCGTGCGTCAGGAGTTGCTTCACGTCATGTTCGGAGGCAACATCGCAGCGTATCACCTCCGTTCGGGCTCCACGCGCGCGTAGTGCATCCAGAGCGGCTTGTTGACTTGGCTGTGTTGCTCCAGAGCGACTTGAAAAAACAATGTGACGGGCCCCGCTGTCTACCAGAGCGCTGGCTAGTGAGAGTCCGATTGTGCCCAGTCCTCCGATCAGAAGGTAGGTGTTCTCACTAGGTAGCGGCCTTGGCTCGGGTTGAACAGGTCTCACTGCCACGGGACCTGGCGCCTGGAGGTCAAGGATGACCCGGGTGCCGGAACGCCTCGCATGAGAGATAGCCTCGTCCACCTGTGAAACTGGAAAGACAGGATAGGATGCCACCTGAACGAGAGACTTATGTCCTGCGATGAGATCGACAGCTCGGTGGAAATTAGCCTGTATCAGGCGCGGAGTATCCCTAAGCATCCGAGACAGAGAGAGTGAGGTGACAGTGCAGCCCTGCTCTAAGATCTTCTGGGGTAGTGCCGAGAGTTGTAGGTCCCCACTCAGGTCAATATACCGACCCCCAGGCGCTAGGCAAGACGCTGCTTGTCGGCTAGATGCTCCCGCGAGGTTACAGACGGTGAGCTCGACTCCTCTGCCGCTAGTCAAACGGGCGATGGTGGTTGGAAGTGACCGATGGAGGGAGATAATCCGGTCTTTCAAGACGGGGTACTGGGCACGTAGCTCCTCTACAACACCATCCACGGCAACAAACACCTGCATCCTTGCCGCTAAGGCACAGTGTACAGTGGCCCTGAGTGTCTGATTAACAGAGCCCACAATCAGAATAGAGCCGGATACTTGATGCATTCCATTGACAAGGCTGGTATAGGCGGTAGAATACGCGATCGGCATGGAGAGAGATTGCGCGGGGCCTTGCTGCGGAGGACAAGTCAAGACAGAGCTCTCGGGCAAACGAACCCGAGTGGATATGGTCTGGCCAGGTATCACACACAGCACCGTCTCTCCAATCGAGAAGACCGATATCAGAGACTGTCCGACCTGGCAAACAGTGCCCAAGGCCTCTGTCAATGGGACGCGAGCCTCCGTGGTCTTTGCTGTTGTAGAGGGAAGTGAAATAGCATGAAGGTGAACTTCTACTTCATCCTCCGCTATCGCAGTGGCTAGTCGGTCGTCCAATTGCCATTGCGCTGCCTCAAGATCGGATGACTTGCTGTGTAGACGCAGCGGTCGGGTGTCCTCCGTCAACTCAGCCAGTATAGGTTTCGGGCCATGTACAGCTGCTTCCATCGCATCATCCAATGGAGAGTATGCAATTGCGCGTGGTACATGCAAGCGGCCGTCGCGCAGTAAGTACTCGTAATCCCGGGGTCGCGACCGCGACTGGTGGCTTAGTCGTAGAAGACGTGCAATACTACGGCCAAGATGACCAGGATCCCGCGCAACATCCTTCTCCTCTATTAAAAGCTGAGGTAGGTCCAGGTTGGGGTTTTCATTCCGTAAAGTTCGTAACAGCCCGGTTGTAGCACCAGTAGCCGCATAAGAGGCGGCTGTGTCCAAGGGTGCGGGCGACACCCAGAGTATGTATTTCGCCTGAACCAGCGTGCGCATGCATTCCATATCTGCGGGAGTCCATTGGAGCGTCCATGACTCGTGCAGTTCCATCAACGAAATAACCTGCTTGTCCTTCAACTTTGATACCTCATGGGGGCTTACTCTCTCCACCCGGGCGCCCTGCTCCTCGATCAAGGGGGTGAGCTCCTGTAACAGAGCATTGAAAATGTCAGCTGGCTCGGGCGCCAGGACGTAGATGATAGGGTCTAGTAACGAAGAAGCTTCATCTCGCCGGTGGATAAGTAGTGAGTTTGTCTGAGAAGCAATCCCGTGTACCTTCCAGTCGGCATGTCTGTCAAGATTTTCAGAGACCTCATCCTGCATACCCGCTGGGATGGACGCAATTATCCAGCCATCTGGTTGGGCTACTCTGTTAATATCATCCAAAAGGGGAAATCCTTGTCTGCCAGTCCACAGGTCGGGGTGATCCAGTAGGACCGCGTCGTATGCTCCTTCGTCTGGCAGTGACGAAGCTACCTCCGCAAGGGTGAGCACAGGGAGTAGTTGGCA